AAAACAGTATCACTTTGTGTAACTGATTTAGAATCAGTTTCCATTCTGACTGGTTTACCTTGGTCTACGCCTGTAGAGCTTGAAGAGCTGATCAACGAGCACCGGATGGACATCATGGAACTCCTTGCGGAAGTTCTTCTCCATGACCTTATCCTCAGCGACCCTGATGTCATAGGTATCACGGTACTGCTCAACCTGCTTCTTGGCTTGGGCCATGGATGTCACACTAGATGCCTATCACAATCAACAACAAGAAACACAATTCATAGCAATTCCAGTAATCATTCAGGGGTGATAGTGAGCACTCAACCACATCCCCCTTGAGTAAAAAAAAAAAAAGAGGAGGGGGAAAAATGGCATCTAACAACATTCCCCCCCCCCCCCCCTTTTGAGTTAGAAAAATTGGGAAATAATAGGGGAAAATCTGGAAAATCAGGATAAAATCGGGAAGAAAAAAAGAAAGAAAGAAATAATCGGGTAAAAAAAAAAATAATTGGGAAACCAATTTAAATCAGGTTTTTATCAGGCCTGTCATTGTCTTGTCTTTGATAAGTTATTTGGTAATGACGATAATATTAGCTGCTACAATTGTATTTATAACACATTTCCCTCCAGGCCTAGGAACACATAGAGCATCTAAAAGATAATATCATTCCTTTCCAAAATGTTGTTATTTATGTATTGATAACATTATATAGATCTCCCATAAAAATTGACATTTGGGCAATTACAATTGTCTGCAGATATTAAAGTATCAGAAACAATCCATACTGAGTTTGTCCTATAAATGCCTTGCCTAGGACCCGTTTCACAAAGCCTTTTTTTCAAAGACATATGAAAAAAAATCAGTGACAAATCTGCTGATAACCATGCAATCAGGAGCAAGGATTTCACAAAACAAAATATGAAATGGGGCCCTGATCTCTACTCCATACTGACCTTGAGTGATCTCTTAGCATTGAGAAGTCTTGTTAACTCTTCCTCTCTCGCATCAAGCTCATCCTCTACCATCAACACTCGACTCAGACGAAGGATCTTCAGTTCCTCCTAAACAGGACAAGCACAAAGATGGAAATTGTAGCACCTCAAGAACTAAAAAGGTACTATCATTGTAAAATGACCTAAAATCCTCTACGAGCCAGGAGAGCATTCACTCAAATCACTTTACCCAGAGGTAATACCTTTCTGTCTCTAAGCAAACCCAAATCTATCTTTAGGAGTCCTACAAGTGCTTACAAATACAATGAATATATCATGACACATTTCAAATGATACCCCATTCACAGTGGTTTTGAAATTTGAAGCGGTGTTGTAGCGGAGCGGCGACACCGCCATAACACCGCTACAAATGCATTCACAGTAGAAAAGTTATCCCGCTGCAGCAGCGGGATAAATATCATGTACCCATTCACGCTGCAGCGGGTGATTTTTATTACCTCCGTAACAAACACGTATGCATGGCTCATGACCCGCGAGTGACCCCGATATGACCGGAAATACTTCAGCGCAGGGTTTTCGAAGAGGTCAGTGATAGGTAAGTAAACAAATCACACGTGTTTGTCGCGGTGTTATAGCGGAGAGCCTTCACACTGAGTAAACACCGCGACAGCAGCGGGACTGTCCCGCTGCTGTAGCTAGGCGAACCTAGCGATAGTTTGTCGCGGCGTTATCGCGAGGCGGTGTTATCCCGCGATAGTTTATAACGGGTCCGAGCCTTCACACTGAAGACAACACCGCGACAGCAGCGGGACAGTCCCGCTGCTGTCGCGGTGTTTGAGGCCACTGTGAATGGGGTATGAGTTGTAATCCATTTATGAAATTTACATGTACATGTTTTTTAATGTGCAAAGTAATTTGTGATTACACAAAAGAAAATTGTATGATATGCGACGTTTTGCCACAATAACCAGACTAAATCGCCAGAAATCCTTTCACCTTTTAGCAGTGCTATGTTTCATGTCACAAATTAGCCAAAGTTTTACTTCAGACTACAAAGATATGAGGTGATGGCTCAGTGGTTGAGTAGTGGTCTCGTAACCTAAAGGTCTCAGGTTCAAAATCAAGTCAATGTGCTTTGGTAAGGCATTAATCCTCACTATCTAGTCCCTCGGAGAGGACTCAAAGATTTGTTCCCCTGATTGCTTACTTATTAGCGTAAACATGCTTTCTTAGCAGTCAAGTAAAAACAATCATCAACATTCAAACATTGATTGTCAATAAAAAACTAAACTGATCAAAAGGTATTCCATTTGTTATGTTAAAAAATGGATGATAACAAAGGCAGTATCAAAATGCAGAATACAAGTGAACATTCATCATTTATAAAATCGTTTGGTGATTAGGTGACAAACCTGAAATATAGCCAGCTCTGTCTTGACCTTCTTAGCAAAGAGAGTCATGAGCTTCTCATCAAAGTTAGCTGTGGTGTCTGCAATGATGGTCTGAAGCTTCTTCAGCTCTGCCTCAAGGGTCTGAAGGTAATGATAGAGTAAGATGTGATTATTTGAATCTCTATCTCACTAGGAAATTATCAATCATCACAGAGTCATAACATATTGTACGAAATGATATCAACGCATAAATTGCAAGCATATCTGATTATTGTATTTAATTCCTGACATATGTCTTTTTCTCATTACCTCACTTCCTAAATTTATTTTTAGAATTCATAAAGGCACACATTTAGAGATAATTTTTTACAAATCCTGTTTGAATAAATATTTTTTTTGGTGCAAATTTACAGATTTCTTCTACGTGTAATTCACCTGAAATCTATCAAACCGCAAATCACAAACCATCAGACTTTTCATGTATATTTCAGGTCAAATTACCTCTTAAACATAATGTACTAATCCTCCAATCCTCATTCAACAAAGGTATTTGAACATAAAGCTGCATTTCCTCACTAATCAACCTGTAGTCTCATATAATATGGTAAAATTACAGTGGAACCTGTCTATAAAGACCACCCAAGGGAGACAAGAAAAGTGGTCATTATAGGCTGGACAGGTGGTCTTTATGTACAGGTTCCTTTAGTACATGTTTCAATGAGAAACCATTTCCAAGGGAAACAAAAAATGTGGTCTTTCTATACAGGTGGTCACTAAAGCAGGCTTGATTGTATAATGCAATGAGAGCCAGAAGGATATAAACTCTGCCCTTCTGGCTTTGAGCTGACTGAGTGAGACTCTCATCATGACAAACCTTCTTATATTTCTCCCTCTCTTCACTGAGCTCCTTGACCCTCTTCTCAAACTCCACTGCGATCTTCTTCTCTTCATCACTCCATTCATCAGACCCCTTCACTGTCATGAAGATAGGTATTGGAATATCCTGCACAGAGAAAAATAAAACAAGAAAAACATTTAATACTAATTGAGATTATTCCATATAATTCATTGTTTCCCTCCAAAATGAGATTTTCATAATAAATGATTTGAACATAAACATGTAGCTCTCAAATAATTTAAAGTTGCCAAACTCCATCATGATTACATATGACTTCTATATCATGTACATGTGTAATAGCAGCACTATTCAATACTGTCTCTTCAAGTTTTGAGAATTGATGAGTTGGGGCAACTATAAATTTGGAATAGCACATCGAGCATATCTTTTTCCAAAACATCACCTTAAAAATTGGTGAAATATCTGGCATTCTACAGAGAAAATTAAAGATTTAAAAAAATATTTTTTTATATTTGTAAGCACTTGGATGAATATTTTTTCAATAGTGCAAATATTTTTATTTGTTGAAAGATTAATGTTAATTCTATTCAACTCGGCTGACGCCTCGTTGAATAGAATGTTAATCTTTCAACTCATGAAAATATTCGCACTATTGAACTCATAACTATTCATTATTTGTATAATATGCAAGAAAGAATTGAAACATTACATGTAATGAAAGAAATGATGATGATTATGACGATGATGATGATAATGATGACGATTATGATGATGATGATAATGATAGTGATGACGATAATGAAAATGATGACGATTATGATGATAATATTTCCTGACCTTCTTGAGTTCATCCTCTTTCTTGATCTCCAGCACCCCACCCATCATCATATCCAGAGCCCTCTCCCTTGCATTATCTCCCTTGGCAGCCAGCTTCTTCTCTTCTTCTAGCTTAGCTTCTTCTTCCATCTTAGCTTTCTGATCAGCACTCACAAACTTCTCTCCAGAAACCTGTAAGATGACAAAATAACAACATGGAATATATAAGAATTAGAGGTGCCGTGGTCTATTGGATAAGTCACCTGACTGTGGATCACATGGTTGATAATTATATTAGCTTATATAGCGCCTAACTATATAAGAAGCCTCTAGATGCTCTACAATAATGCAGCATAATTACCCTGGCTTTAGCAGAGCAGCTGTTACGCGCTCTGCGATTCAAGGAATAAATTCCTACCAGGTCCCCATTTACTTCACCTGGGTGGAGTGTGGCAAATGTAGATCAATGTCTTGCCAAAAGGACATTAGTGCCGCGGCAGGACTCGAACCACAGACCTTGTGATCTGGCAACGTATCGACTCGACCACAACTTCTACACATGGTTTGGCTCCAGCGGCACTAATTTATTTTGGCGAGACATTAATCTACATTTGACACACGTGATCCAGGTGAGGAATATGGGTACTTTGCAGGAATTAATTCCTTGTAATGCTAGAGCACAATAATCGTTGAGGGCCGGGAGTGCTACGTCGTAAGGACATGAGCGCTATACAAGAACCAACTATTGATATCTATTATTACATAGCTTTTACACTGTAAAGGTACTAGGATCCTTCAGTTTTGGAAGTAAAGTTGAGTTTTGAAGAAAAGTGCTTAAAAGTCATTCTGAACAATGCATTTCATATTGCTAGCCACTAAAATGCTTTGATAATTCCAGATATTTTCCTGAGAGCAATGTAAAATGAAAAGGCCCCAAGTGGTTTTGAAGCCCTAACAGATCAGCCATCTTCTTTATCATTAACTGCTAGAGTTATTACTCATTTTTTTAATTTAATTCTAACCAAAAGGTTTATTGATTCTGTGAAAATATATTTGTTCATGATGTAAGACAAGACTACATATAAAAGATTAAACTTGGACTAAGCAATAAGCTCATTGTTACTTTTAGGTCATATTTTGCAAAGATCAAATCCACATCTAGATCTGGGCCCCGTCTTATAAAGCGTTGAGATTAATCGCAGCTTACTTGTGATTGATATCAATCGTAACTAGGAGACTGGAAACTTGTGATTGAATGGAGGACTTGCGATTGATTTGGATCAATCACAATTCTTTAAAAGACAGGGCCCTGATCTGTTGAATGGAAGGGTTTTTCATACGTTTGTTTTATTAAAATTTATTTTTGTTAACTGACATATCGACAGGATATGTAAAGTGCTTTAAAAGAAAAATTTATTTTCATTGCTTCAACAGGTAGAAAATCTACCCCTCCCCCCCCCCCAAAAAAAAGAAAGAAAGTATGCTTCGCTAATTGATGGATGGATCAATTTCAAGACCTGTACCTCTGAATCTTCTACAGTGAGTAGTTTCTCAGGTTTCTCATCAGCATCCATGCCCGGCTGCCAGATCTTCTCATTACTGGTTAGATCAGATAGAATCTTGGTGATACGGACATTCTTCTCCTCGATGCGAGCAATCTCCTGCTCTCGCTGCTTGTAAACCTCATCAAAGATCTTGTTGTAGGTCTGCTTGATGCGATAGATTGCATCCTGTAAGCACAATATCAAAATGACAAGGTAGAATCAGATTAGAATACAGGTCTGAAACCAACTAGTTAATTGCAAATAAAAGATAGTTTTCGAGATAATAAGCACCTCTAGTGTGCACCAACAACAAAGGGCTGGTTTAGATATGCCGCAGTAAATAGTTGCAGTTTTATTTTCTGTGATGTGTAATAGAATGGCAACAAAGGTCTCACACATATTAACTTGGCCCTGTGTTATTGAGACACAGAAATGTGAAGCATTTTGCACTATCAATATCATTATTTTTAAAAACTTCCGGAAAAATAGAGTGCAAGGAACAATAACTTTAAAATAGAACAGAAAATGGGAGAGTCCCAAGGGTCACAGTGATTCATCTCGCTTTTACCCTCCCATGCGCAGTTGGCGCCAAATCGTAGTAAGAAAAGTAACGATAAAGGAGACTCATATGGAAAAAGAAATGAGAGATAGGGAGAGAAAAATATGTAAAGGTTCGAACAAGTCTTCATAAAGAGGGGATCGAGGGAGAGATGGAGGGACAAATGGGAATTTACCTGAAGTAGCACAATTTGGTTGTTTTTCTGCTGCCTGGTATGTAGCTCAAACTGACTGTAGAAGAGATCATTGGCTCCACCGTACTGAGCTCCCAAGGAGCCGGTGATAGCTGCTGGATCCCCTGCAGCTTCTCCTTCTTCAGACTCCTCGTCTCCTTCCTCATTCTCACCAGACTGCATGCATCAAGGAGTAACAAAACACATCTACAATCAGCCACGAATAAATATGAATGGATGTAGTTCTCAGAAGGCTGGAAATCTTACAGCTGTATTCTTTATGCATGTTTTTAGTATGCTTTACTTTAAAACAGACATTTTGGTACATAAAAAGCTCAGTAAACTCGTAATATGCTACATGTTGCATCATATATTTCTTACTTGGTATCTATTCACAGATTAATAATTGCTCTGTGTTCTCAGTGCTTTTCTATTTTTCATTTTGTTTGTGTCTGTGCATCAAGCATATGTAAACAAAGCAAATCTCCATTATTATTTAAAGAAGATGTAAGCATTGGGTTGAGCTGAATTAGAGCCACTCCCATGAAGAAAAACACTTCCCTTGATAATTTGCTACAATTATGAAGGTTTTCTGGAAATTGTAATCTGATAGTATCTAACCAGTCCAATTATAACATAGTTAATGAGAATTTCTATTTAAACACCATGCAAAATAAATCATGCTAACAAGTCAATAACACAAATATTACAAATGAATCACGAAACACACTTACTGTACTGGCTCCAAGCTCAATGATTTCCTTCCTTGCCTGTGAGAAAGGGATGAAGAAAACATTTTAAGAGCAAGAAAATTTCTTGACATTTTGTAAGTGGTTACATTTGTGTAAAATATTGTTTCCTCCTTTTCATTTAATGTTTAAAAGTTCAGGAATTACATGAATAACGATTTACTCTGTGTTACTCATATCAACCAATAAGCAAATAGACGAAAAGACAAATGTACTGGTAGACTGATGGACACCGGAAACCACAGTGCCTTCATCAATTGGTAACAAGCTCCAGCATATCTTTCTCTTCCTTTCTTCTACCCCCCCCCCCCCCCCCTCTAACTCTCTCTCTCTCTCTCTCTCTCTCTCTCTCTTTACCGCTATGCCTTCTTATCTCATTTGATTTCATATGATCTAAATTATCTAATCAAATTCAACTGCAGAGACAGGGTTAAGAATCAAGCAGACTTACAGCCATCTCAGCGACCTCAATGCGCCTCACGTTGGTGACAAATTCTAAATCCTCTTTCTCCTTCTTGCTTCTCTCTCTCATCGGGTAGTTGCTCACATCCAGAGGGAAGTGGAAGGCCTGCAACATGAACAGTTTCAACAAAAATTAAATAAGAGTGAGATCAAGAACAGAACTTTTTTCTGTACAGTCATATATCTGGGCCTACCAGTTACCTTTGAAGGTACGATAACCCCTTCTCAATTCAAGAATTTGCTCAGTCTAATATGTTTGCAGAAACAATACTAAAGGGTATATTTATCAGAATATATCATGCACTGAAAGACATGAAACGGTGCACTTCTGGCTCCATACAGACAATATGAATTATGGATTATGAAATTAAAGTATACGATACAAGAACCAAACAAATTGTCTCAATTACGTGGTTCCCTTTATATTGAGAATCACTGTAACTGTAATAGCTAATTCATACCTTAATGCTTCGTCCTTTGTTGATCATAGAATCCCAGCATTCATTCTTAATGGTCTCTCTCATGTACATCTTAGCTAGGTCCTCAAGCTCCATCTCTTCACGGATCTGTCAAGACAAACAAAATATTTACCAGTAATATTGACGGTTGGCATGATTTAACCCTGCCATTGCAATCCCTGACACAGTATTTATTTATATCTTTAAGCAAAGCACTTTGTTTATATTGCTTCTCTCTATCCCTGTGTATAAATGGGTACCAGTAGAATATGAACTTAGGTTTGTAATTGACTAGCATGAGTGCACCATTACATGGTCGCTGGTTAGAATGCTCGCTCCGTAGAGGTGGAGATGGTGCACAATGTGTACAGAGAAGCAAGTGAATCCAATGACTGGCGTGATAATAGTTATATCCAAATTGCTATGCAATATATATATCTATCATCTGTAGTATTTTATGCAATAAAGTCAAACAGAGAAACATGTTATAGGAAACATATCATATTGAATAGGTGAAAAAAGAGAGTCCTGTTAAAAAAGTTGAGTGACCAGATAGCACTTATCTACTGCATCATTATTACTTTAGTCCCACACTAAGACTTACCTGTTGTACTTGGCCCTCTCCCTCAGCCTGAAGTCTACGCTGTTCTTCAGTGTCCAGATTAAACTCATCTTGACCTAACATCTCAATGTCAGGGAGTATTTCATTTACTTTCATCATGTCTTGGATCTGTTAAAACAAATAGCACACATCTTCAGAAGCAAATTCTACAAAAACACTTTGAAACACCTTTCTTATTTATTGTCATAGCTAGTATATACTTAGAAATCTCTATCTTATGCAATACCTTGTTAGTTTGGATCCTTAAATCAATGTCCTTTCAAAAAAATACAACATTATAAGCATTTCACTACAAATAATTTATGTACTTTATATATTCCTTGTAACCATGCATGCATGTGAAGAAAAAAAATCCATTTATGTGGACAATAAAAAAAATCAAATCAAATAAATCATGATTTTCTATGGCATCGTACAAAATGTCCTTGTTGCAAGTATATACTTGATTATATGTACCAATAGTTCATTCTAGAAGCGGTGATGTTTAACCTAAGAAGAGAACCTGTTATAAAACCTACCGTCCTACGAAGATCTCTGATCTCTCCTCTCAAATCTTTCTTGACAGTAGCATACTGTTTGTCCTCATCATGCAGAGCCTACAAGATTATTATAAAGAAATGTATAATCATTATCACCATAACATCACCACCAACAATTAGCCTAGGTTGACACAATAATCATCGTAAACAAGAATCTATCATCTCGAGACACAACCATGCTATTACCATGACTACCACCATCATGATCACTATCAACAACATCATCACTAATCATCATCATCATCATCATCACTAACATCATAAACATCATCATCCTCACTATCATAAAGTAGAACTACCACCACTATTATCACAATCACCACCACCAACATCATCTCTACCATACCACCACTATTATCACCATCATCACCACCACCACCACCATCATCATCTCCACCAACATCATAATCACTATTACCATCATAACCAAAACTATCATTGATTTCACTAAAACCACTACCATCATCATCACCTTCATTTTTACAGTGATGTTACCATTTCCATCATTGGTACGTTCACTTTGGCCAAAAAAGAACAACCTTCCTTCCATACCTACCTCTAATTCTTTGACATCCATCCAGGCTGGATCCCCAAACAAGGTAGGGGTTGGAGTCATGTAGATCTGATCAGATTCAATCGCCTTCTCAATTGTCATACTCTACAAATGATTAAAAAAGAATGGGCTTTTAACATAAAACCAGCAACAAATCTGAAATAGTGTATCAACGTTGAAAGCACTGGGAGGTAACATGTCTGGAATATCTAACTGTAATGAAACATAGACAATCCCAAAACACCTGTAGCTCTGACTTCACACAACCAAATTTCTTTTTCAATATCAATGCAAAACTATTTAATATCCACTGTAGAACATAATGTAAATTTCTTTTCCCAACCCCAAGCTTAAAATGAAAGTTTCTTATTAAAGCTAAGTCAGCGTCTCTTTACAAAGATTTTTGCTTCAGAAGATTTCAATTAATCAAAACTTTATTGGCATAAATATCTATATCAGACTGATGGCTTACTAATTAATACAAGATGTATGAGTGCAATTCCATGCAATGTGTCCTATACGACATATGACATTTATGCATTTATTTCATCTAAAAATGAAAAACTCTTGATACATGTACGACCATTGACTTATGGTTCTTTCTGGTATTGAATGATCATAAGAAGATAACATTCATTTTTGCATAAGTAAATGGAAAAAGATACATATCGTACAGGAAACTTTGCAATAAATCCATTGGTTGTTTGCACAAAATAGCCAGCATACCTACCTCATTGGATGTACTGATGAGCTCATGAGATGCTGTCCTGGAACCCACCATAGAATGAGGAGACCAGTCTCTCATGGACTGAAGAACTTCATCCTCTCGTTTGCGCACAGCCTGGAGCATTGACTTATGGGAGCGTGCTGCCTCAATGGCAGAGTTTGCCTTGGTCTTACCCATGGAGTTGAAGCTAGACAGAAGCACAAATTAGATATTAACAATGTTGTTAATTATCGTCCATTCAGAGCCAGAAGGGCCTTAACGCTGTGTTTAAGTATATGGGTAAACACCTTCTGGCTCCAAATGATATCATACTCTAACAATACTGATAAATGCTCATTTCTTGATGGATAAATTGCATTAAAGAAGATGGAAGACTAGTTGATCTGGATTTCGCTTATGTTAGACAGAAATGGAGTATATGAATATTTCTTTCCCCGCCCCCCCCCCTTTTTTTTTTTTTTTTTTTGAGGGGTTTTCCCAATATTTATCCAGACTTTCAGAATGATAAGCATACAGTTTTGTTATCCATACAGTTCTTGATCAAGAACAAACAAAATTTAAGTCCATTCTTTACTTTTAAAAACACAAAATGTAAAGGGAATCCATCAAATATTGATCTCAATGAAAGGTAGGCCGAGACCTTCAGTCTTATAACTTTTTAAATCTAGGTTTAGTCCACTCATAAAAACAAACAGCAATGAAATCACATATGAACATGAATACAAACACATTGCTTAGCTTCTGAAATAAAGATTTTACTTACTTTAACAAGGAAGCATTCATGTAAGTTATTTAAAAGTATACTCAAACCCTAACAGCATCAAGCACTGGACATATAATGAGGACCTGCCAATTCATACATGGAAACAAACATCAACTACTGAGCAGACTTAACTGTCAAGTCAAATCAAACACTGACCATTTAACACAACTACAATATCAACAATAATACCAGCAACCAGAAGTACTTCAAATTTCAAAGGACGACACTGAATAATATAATTTCATATATGATCTGCGGAAGATCAATATTCAGCAAAAATAACATAATATTCCCGCCACCAAAACCAACACCAGTCATGACGTGACTACATGTATGCCCCATCTCCACTTCCAATGGAACACACCATGTACCTATTCAGACTATTCCAAGATGCAAGATGACGAAACAAAAGAGCATGAAAGATAAATAAATTATATAAGAATCTTCATATTCTTATTTTGGAGAGAAAAGTGTACACTGTGTTGGCAGTCTAATTCTTTACATATTGGATTCGAAGAAGAAAAAAAATATAACATGGATGAAAGAGCTCGATCATGATAAAATCAAATATCATTGCTGGGTTTTTTAATCAAATATTTGAGGTACTGACTACTATATCAATTTGTGTCAATACAAATCATTATCAATAAGCAATTGGAAATGACAGTATTACCCAGACACCTAGATGTATGATAGAATGAGACAGACAGAAGACAATTAAAATGTATCATTAAACCTTCCTGATGAAAGAAACGGATGAAAGTGATTGAATTGTGCATTGATCTGCATGAAACTGCTTGACAAAAGCATATCAGAAAGTTTTATCGAAAAGAAAAAAATTGTTGTTTCATGCCTCTTGTTTCCTTTATAATTCTCTGTTCTTTTAGTGTGTATCATGAATGCATTTGATGGAAAATGCTTAAGTTACGTCGATCTGCATTTATATTTTTAGGACAAAAGTTGCACCCATTTTTAAATTTGATTGGTGATATTGATGTCCAAAACACTACTGATGGATAATTTGTAATCTTTCTTTTAGTTTGAGCAGTATCGTTAGAAAGCAAGACACTTACTTCCATGCATAGCACGTCATGGTACCATCCTGAGCCCCTGTGGTTACTATCTGAGTGGCATCTTGGGTCAAGCACATCCTATAGATGCCACCAGTCTGGAAGCTATGGCAGTGGACATTAAACGGGCTCTCCATTGCGTCTGTATCTCGGATGGTCATCTTACCGTCGGGGGAGGCAGAGAGGAGCCAGCGTTTGTGATAGGAGAGGAGTAGGGTGCCCCCGGCCAGGTCATGGACTGGGTAGTCGGCTTCAGACTGGAGCTGACAGGCTTGAACATTGTTCTGCAAGGTAAAGATACATACAGTCATTAACCATACAGTAATACAGTGATTGTGATGTAATGAGAAAGAGAGGAATGCAAACATGGAGATAGAAAGAAAGAAAGAAATGTGAACATCTAGATAGAGAGACACACGCGTACACACATACAGACAGAGACAGACACACACACACAAAGACAGAAAATGATAGAGAAGAAGAGAGACTGAGATAATTAAAATAGAGAGACTGATAAAGAGACAAAGAAACAGACAGAGAGACATAGACAGAGGGAGAGGGAGAGAGAGAGAGAGAGAGAGAGAGAGAGAGAGATGGAGGGAGAGATAGAAAGAGAACAAGACCCCCCAAAAAGAGATAGAAAAAAAAGAGCAAGATGGCAAGACACTGTACAAGTATTGAGCAAATGAAAGAAAATGCACCCTTCGACAAAAAAATGTATTAATGCTTCTACATTCGAATTTCCTATGGCAGCTGACTAAAGCAATAATAAATTGATAATTTGTAGGTGCCTTGGGTATCCCTCAGACTATATATGTACCTGTTTTATAGCTGTTATTATCATGATATAAGAAATGAGAGTGGACTCCATACCTGCTTTGGAGGGTCTTTGGGTAGAGTCATCTTCTGGATCTGTTTGCTGATAGACAGGGTGTAGACTTCACCACCAGCCCCTACAGCAACACTCATAGCATGCTTGGGTAGAGTCAACACCATCTTCTTCACTACATCCTCTTTGAAGTCACAGTTGGGACTGGCAAGGATGTTAGGTAAGTCTAGCAAAGAACAAGAACAAAGCAGCATAAATTTAGTTAAATAAAACTGATGACTTCATTCAAATGTCAGCTAAAAACAACCATCACTAATTATGAAATTGAATTATCAAAAGAAATAGAATACAAACTTATTTTGCTAACATGGAAGGCAATGGATATATCTCAGACATGCTTTACCCCTTATAATCTTAAAGCAAGTTTTCAACGAGCAGGTAATATCTGAAGGAGGTTTTTAAAAGTAAAGACCAGTTATGGTCATGCGATTGCATTGTGAAAGAAACGTTGTGGAATCGATCAGAAAAGGTTGATCATCTAGCATCTAGCATCTGCAAGGTTCTGGAATCATCAAAATGATAAGAAATTTGGCCCATTCTTCGTAAAGTTACAAGCACTATATATACAGAAAGATGTATATGGGACTACCCTATATCTCTCACAGACCATGAGAGAAACAAATTTACCAAATATATGAATTAGTAGGCGGTTTCCCGACAATTTTTTTATCATCATGTATTAGTCAAAACATATTCTTTCACATGATTGGTAATGAGAGCTTCCATTTCATTTTTTGAAACTGGGGCGTTTCCAATACTGGTCTTAAGATGAACAGAAATTTAAGCTGTCCTCAAAGTTCATAGACAGTAAAATGTTATGCATTTTTATTTGCCTTCCTTTAAATAGATTGGAATTAATTAAATATCAGATTTCATAAAACTACATATGCCTTTCATTTATTTAAATACATGAGATAATATTTCTTTCATGACAGTAACCTGATTTTCTTACCATCTGCTAAGTTTCCAGGAACATCAAAAGCCACAAGCTTGTCTGCACCGGTATTGATAGAGGGGTCGGTATTGATGATAGCTACCACCTTGACTGGTCCTCGTTTCTCATCTACACTGGTAGCAATGCTGAAGACATTACCAGTCACAGCTACAGAATAACAAAGATCAAGTCTAATCAATTTCACAAACGAAGGACAATACATGTTTTGTTACAGTGTATCATACATGGGAAACTGATCCAACAATTGAACAGGTAAATTCCAAACAAGTAGTTTGATTTAGTGAAACTTGTATAGAAAGACTGTCCAAGGGAGACACAAAAAGTGGTCTTTATAGACAGGTGTTTATTTACACACAAGTTTCCTTTAACAGTGGTTGCTAAAGCAGGTTTGACTCAACTTGGGCACAACAGCAAGAGCATTTTAACAGAACATTGTTGTTTCAATTCCAACTGGACCAAATAACAAAAACCACAAGCAAACAAATATTCCAGTGTTTTGATGGTGCATAACAAAGCCAAAGCCTTTGACAGTAGAGCAAGAGAAGGCTAAGGGTTTACAGTTTATATTTCTTTGAAATCAGTAGCTGTTTGGAATTCAATAATAGGCCTAATAATAATTATAGCTCACATTTATAATGCGCATAATACTTTGTTTCAAGGTGCAGCACATATTATTACCCTGGTCATCGGATTCAGGCTTACCCCAAACACAATGTATGCACATTTTCCACTCCCTGGGGAGCATTCAATGAACGTCAGACATCCTTGTTCTCTGTACTTACGAGTCTGTGCAAGGATCTTGAATTCGGTCGAAGGTCTCGCATCGGTGGTGATGATATGCCCATCCTCCCCAGCTGAGAATACAAAGCGTCCCTCCGTGTCATAGTTGATGTGATTGACCGGCAGTCGATGGACATGATGCTTCTTGACCAAACGAGGCTGCTCCATGCGTGATGCATCCACAAAGCAGATATGACCGGACAGTGTACCTACAGCAATCGTGCTTGAAGATGGACTTGCCGCAATGCATGATGCCTGTATAAAACAAGAAGAAATAGGCATTTGTTTAACATGCTGGATGAATTGTTATTATTGTCTACTTGAGCAAGAATAATGAATAAATGAAGACAAAAACATGTAATTGACTTTTAAATATATCACTAAACAAAAACTGATTCTAGTCTCTGACAACACAGTAAGTAAATATATTTGTACTAAACTACTTTAAAAATTGATATCAGAAATCCTAATTGGCAGATTTGGATCTAGAACATAGTAGTGAAGAAGATATGAAGATATAGAAATGTGGAAAACTTTGTTTGAAATATAGACCAATTAAAAAGCCTAGTAGATAGCCTTATACATTCTTGTATCATGTGTTTCAATGTGTTTGGTCCCTAAACCACTATTGATAATGTGAAGTACTGCTAAATGTGTAGGGAATAGTTAATAGTTTTAATACTTAGAACCAGGCCATAATTGCCACCCATAAGGATCGAAAGTGATTATGATCTATATTGCCACTTACAGTTGTGTTGATAGAGACACTTCCAATGACCTGACAGTCTTCCAAGCTCCAGATCTGTACTTCTCCATTCTCTCTCACGGACTGTATGGAGAAAACATTGAATGGAGAATCAATAGCTACCATGAAGCAGTTCCACATCTCCTTAAAGTTCCAGATAATATCATGCTATATCATTACAAATATCCTAGGGCTTCAAAGTGACGTCTATGATTTATAGGTAGACCGATATAGGTAGACATTCTTTGTAGATTTACATGGTCAGTATTCACACTCAAAAGCTTTTAAAGGTACTATGTCCCATTTGCAGGCCAAAAAAATGAAAAAGTTAAATTCCAACTACATTTGAAAGATAATACTAATTTAGAACTTCCCTAAAAAAGGTGGGGCTTGAAAATGTCTTCAAGTGGAAAAATAACAACTATTAGTTGTCAAATCGACTTTAGGGCTATAGAGCCCAAAAGTAATAGTCTTGATTTTCAGACAATTGTACCGAATGGTCACACGTTTTATGCTGCGCAAAGATTCAATCAGTTTAATCTTGGCCATCACAATAATAATAATAATAATAATAATAATAATAATAATAGCCTAATAGTCCACTCCAAATTTTATTAAACCGAAACAGAAATTCTTTTTGCCCAATTGATCGTGAGCCCGGCAGCCACTGAGCAGCGCCAGATCGACGTTGCTCTATCCCTTATTGTTGAACGCCAAACAAGGTAGCAACAACTCCCATCTTTTAACGTCTTTTGGTATGACGCGGCCGGGGTTCGAACCCACGACCTCCCGGTTGTGAGGCGGACGCTCTACTGACTGAGCCAACACTCCGGTACAAGAAGTGGGTTATTGATGTAGACAAATGCTCATGTACCCTTTACAACTCTTTTCATGTATGTTATTACCAAAGAAGAAAAAAAGCCAGTCACTCACTCAATAGTGTCTGACAGTGAAGTCTAGCAAGTAAACGGGTTTCCTTGCATAATTTGAATATGAGGACACTGCTAACGTTTAAATTTCACAGATAGGACATACATGACATATTCATAATTCCTGCAAAGTTCCTCAGAATTTGAGGTTGGCTGCAAAAGGGACATAGTACCTTTAATGAATGCATGAAATAACATCTATGGAAATATTTGAATTCATTCAAGGCTCAAAGAATAGGATAGCAAAGAGAAGAGCAAAAACAAGGAGAAAAACTGAAACATACTGTTTACTCAAGGAATGTATTTTTCAGAATTTACACCAAAATGAGATGATATTCATCTCATGGGTTAAATTAAACACAGATATCTTGTTTCAAATGTTTGAAAAAATCATTGAAAGTTTCAAGCAAATTTGAAATTAATTGTCAAATCTCTGCAATCGCAAGGTAGAGGATCTCATGAGTAATACTTACCGCACAGTGCGTGGTACCAGGAGCCAGTACGGACACACCCACAAAGTTACCAAAGTGAGACTCCAGCACAGGTTCAGCCGTTCCAGGGTTGGATTGGTCATACATGTAAATTGAGCCCTGTATCAACAATCAAACAATATGAATAGTATCCTGTCAGATTTTGATCAAAGGAATTTTCTATTAGCATCACACATGTATTACTGTCAAACAAATTTATTAACCCTATTAGCCATGTTTTCATGTCTTGCGTTTGTGGAATAAACTGACTTTCAATGTAGAAATACAACGAATTGTTCCTCCTCCACATGATTCTGTATTTATAAAAACAAATTTGACAAGTTTACAAATATGATCATGAAATACAAATATATGTGCAGTCCGGCTAATTACTAGAAGGCAAGAAACATTTATATGAGGCATTAAACCCAAAGGAATAAGGAACATGGCACCATTTTACAGTATAACACTTTTCATTTAGAAATTAAACATTCAGTACTAGATGACACAATGCACATACACCATCATTAATAAGTTAATGCTACTTCATTATCCATTACAAGCATTATTTTTCAAAAGTAATTATTTAGAATAGATCATTTGGCTTCAAATGTAAACAGAGTTACTACAGGAATTTAGTTACATTTAGTGTAGGAAATTACAGTTGAGCAAATTTCACTGGAGCATGTGTCGTGTAATCAACAAAATATCATTACCGGGAGATTTTGATCATTTTGATGATTATGATCCTACCTTGGAGCTACCGACGGCCAGCTTGGTGTAGTCAGTAGACCAGCCTAGTGATGAGATTGGACAGCCCACGGTGAAGCTATCTTGGACCTGGACCACATTCTTGGTGATATCCAGGCATCGAAGGATCCCGTCATCTCCTCCACAGAACAGACCGTCCCGGTGCAGGGCCAGCGCAGCCATGCTTCCCTCCGTTAGAACAGAACCAGGGTTTACAGACCTGTCTTCACCATCTGTAAGAATCAATGAGATGTATATCACAAGGAATTTAATCAAAAAATATTTTGCAGCATCACTATCTAATTGAAAAAATACTATATTTCTTCATAAAGCAAACAAGGGTTCCAACATTGAGAAGGTCATTCCAATTTAACTCTTAAGCCCAATATATCAAGGAACCAATGACAAACAAAAACTTGTGTTCTGTGATTTTTAAAATATTTTAAAACAAAAATTGTTATCAGCATTCTTCATTATATTTCTAAAACAGCAGGGAAGACAGCGTGTATTTAGTTCTGTTCTGAGCTTTCTTTGGAGCATATTTTCAGCTTGCCCACTACAATGCTTTAGCATGACGTGGCAAATTGATCACATAATGGTTACTTGTTACTTTCTCTATTGTCTCTAATTCAAAATACATTTATAACTCTTCTAAAAAATTATATGTGGCATCATACCTTCAGGCATACTAGGCATGCGCTTGTCCAGTGTGCTGAGCAGGGAGACCTCTCTCCTTAGACTGGTAGTGCTGGCGGTAGGTCGGGCAAGGGTTTTGATGTGGTTCAGCTCTGTATCCACCTTCAGGAGCTGTCCCTCCTGGCAGCCGCAGAACAGATCTCCAGTAGGCGTCCAGCAATGAGATGCAGGGATCACCTAGGAGGACCAAGCAAAATGACAGAGGCTTCTTATAAAGGGGCAAAAGGGTGATGACAAAAAATGCATAATGTACATACAGATCTCATCACTTAAACTGAGGGACGGAGGCATTTCAATGCATTATTTAACATTCTGTAAGGGGAAAATAGCAATGATTAAATTGCAAACGATTTTTAAAGAAAACTTGGATAAACCTGACCTTAAACAGAGCATTGTTAACAGAAAAGTTTCTATAGAGCGCTGAAACATGAGCAAAGCTGGAAAAATCCACTACTGGAGACAGATAAGGTAATCTGTTAACACTGACAATATAAATGGTGTCTCGTTAGTTTCTATCGAAGTGCATATCTGGAAATAATCTGTCACACCTAGAATTAACAGTATTATAAATCTGAAAGAAACACATGAAAGATTGAAAATTTCATATTGCCCCATTTGTTTTCTTCTGATGAATGTATGTCAATAACATAGTGAAACCTATTAGGGAATTGCCGATGACCTACCTTTTTGCTATTCTCATCAAAGATACCTGCATCAAAGTCCACAGCGAGATCACCCACCAGCCCAGCCACAGCTGCGTCATCTAGCTCCAGGTCATAGGGGATACTGGTGTATTGAGAGGCGGCTCGGCTTGGTAGACGGGGGTGGGGCGTGGTAGCATCAGGACCGTTCTCATAGGGTAGGGTGAATTTGCTGATTGGGGGAGGGGGAAACAAATTGTTATTGTATGTTAGTTAATAATGGGAGAGAGTAATCAAGATTGAACATTGCATATCTGTTCACAAAAAAAAGAACAGGTGGGGGTTCTAAAATTATTATTTGAAGATATCTTAGATTCTAAAATTATTTTTTAATTAGAACCCTTTTAAGTTACAACTCCCCGCCGACCACCTCCTCCTCAAAGGGCTAGACATTCTACAAGCATATTTTATTTTTTTTAAATAAAGAAATTGCATTTTGTTGTATGAATCTGATAAAACTGAAGACACAGCCACATTGATCGCTGCTAATTATTCCTCATGTCTCCTAACTTGTGACTCCTACAAAAAAAAAAAAACATCTCTCCTCTTTTTTTCTTCTTCTTCCTTTTAAATGACATCAACTTTCTACATCTTCTGTTTTCAAATCTTTCTTTTCAAACTGATATTTCTTCCTGAGACAAATACATATTGTCTTTTCACTCTCCTATTTCATCTACATACCTTGAAGTCATATGATACATGGTATCAGCTTGTTCAATGGTCCATACACAGAGCTGTTTAGGTCCTACTACACACAGCTTATGCCAGTCTGTTGGGTTGAAGGATACCTGAGTAGCAGTCAAGCCATTCATCATCTCCGTACACAACAGCTGTCCAGTCTCCCAATTCCTATTGGAACATATTTAATTCAATCCATTTAGATTCCAACTTTTTATTTTTAAAAAAAATTGTAAAAATAAATTAATCAAAAACATGCAATATTGCATACATAAAACATTTATATGTCATAAACATAATATGATGCCAGAATGATTCAGGGCACAGTTGTGAAAACAACAAGATTTGTCAAGACAGCTTCCCTGAATAGCAATAGGAGAAAGAAAACAAATGCTGAGCTTTGGCATGAAATATGTTATTAAAAAGACTATTCTTTTTAACAAGGTACTAGTAAGGACAGAACTAGAAAGCACACATCACCTGCTTTAGCAACTACCTGTCTGCATAAGCATACTTATTATTGCCTTAAAATCTCTGCACTTTGTATCCTCCGGTGAACTATGAAATTCCATAGAATACCAAACAAGTTTAACAAATTCTGCAAATTAACACTGCTCTCTCATGAAGTTTACTGATGATCTCATCATTTTCCCTACAAACAAAAAAACTTTCAAGGATTCACAGGATTCCTTCATATTGAACACTGTAATAATAGAATTGATGAACATATTACTTACCATAGAAATACAGAGAACTCTGGAATCCCTGAGCAGCTCACCATATATGGATGTGTGTAGGAGAGAGCTATGGCTGAGTATTCCAACTTTGCTCCCCCTGCAAAAACAAGCGAATGAATGAATAATATTTATCCTGTTTAACTTAACAGCACCCCAATAAGATTATTCAAATCAATGAAGGTCACACTAGTGATGGCCGTGAATCACTATCTATTCAAAATTAGTTTGAACACTAAAATCCATTCTTTGAGACTCATGTACGTCCTACTATGTTCTCACTGCCATTATGACCATATCCTAAAAGAATTCTGGTTTTGAGGGGCTTCCAATATATAATACCCAAATCTCAAATCATATTGGATGCTACCAACACATCGTAGGAGCAAAGCTACATGTACATCAGGCAGAAGTCATAATAATCATTTAAGTTGTGTACGTCTCTTGCCTAAAGTATAAAATTACTACAAAATTACTAGAGCACCTCATACGGATTGGCTTAAAATTTTCATATTTGTAATGAAAACTGTTTTATCCAAGAGGCCCTAATGCAGTACACAAATGTGTACCTACTGTAGAAGATTTCCTTTAGAGATACACAGGTCATACCTTTGCACTCAGCTCTCTTGACGAGAGATGGATAGGAATAGACAAAGATCCTTGGATTGAGGCACATCTCCGAGAAGGCTATCAGATGCTGCGTTCCGTTGACAGCGAGGGCGCCGACTCCATCTCCAGGAGACGGAAAGACGGTCTCCTTGTTATTGGTGATGTCAATGAACTTGATGTTGTTTCCACACAAATGACAGAGTGTGTTCTTATTGACAAAGCTTGCCTGTGAGCCATTGTAACCCTGTGCCCATCTATAAAAGAAAAGAAAAGAAAAAGACAACAATAAGGTCTAGAAAGAAAAGCAAGATGAATATAAGAGACTTTTTATATAATCTATAACAAAATACAGTCCCTTTCATTCCAACAAGAATTATTTACAAAAATAGACATGGTACTTTGTTGTTGATATTGTTGTTGTGCTTCTGCATATCTTGTCAAATATTTATATTAGTATTTAGAGGGCAATATTTAGTGCATTCAAGGGGTCAATTATTGTGAAATCTGCTTACCATGATACATATAGCATTGCATATTTGAAGAAATAAAGCCTGGAGCACTTTCGACAATTATGCAGTACATTTATATCTACATTTTATAGAGGATCAACTACTGTTCTTTAAAAAAAAATGCATGATTGACGAAGGGCAAACATGCAGTGAGAATGCAGCAGGAAAAAGCAAGAGAATGTAATTAACCCCCTTGCCAATAATCAGGTGTGTTTTCATTTTCCATAATTTTTTCCGCCAGACAGCTTCAGAAAATGTATAACCAAGATAAATAAAAATTGTCATAATACACTAACTTATATTATTATTAGCCTTCTTTTAGCCTTAGAAAATATTGTTGTTGTTGTTTTAGATTAAAGCCATATTTGTGAATATTTACGCCATAGTGGATAGCTTAATTAACCTTAGCATGGTGTCTGAGCTAGAGCTACCGAGTGTGAAATACATATGCATTAGTCTAGTAGATTATAGTTATACCCGCTGTCACCATGCGCTGAGCAGAGTCATGCCTCCCCATTTTGCTGATTCAAAACAGGGGAGAAGGGTATTTTCAAACTGTGATCGTAGATACGTTATCCCTTGGGGCTAGCGAAGGGGCTAGCAAAAAAACAAGCGCATAGATACATTCCTTACATCTGAGACTACTTATGCCTCAGGGGCTCATGCAGTTCACAAAAGTGTGAAATCTTGGAGCTACGATGAAAACAATGTTTAAATCGCTGTTTAGATCGAGATATTTTTTAGAGTTCCGAGATGATGAGCCTTGAAATCAACTGTCCAGATACGTGTCTAGATGCAGGGCTGTCAACTTTGGGGAACTGCTTCAAGTTTTTTTTTGCTCAACAGGGAAGGGGGGGGGGGTGTTGAGTAAGAAAAAACAAATTGAAGTGCTCACTACCTCCCCCCCCCCCCCCCCCCCCCCCCCCCCCCCCCCCCCCCCGTTGAGCAAAAAAAAAAACTTACGATACAAGTACGCTGGTTCATTTTACACGTTTGACGGGATAGTTTTTCATAAACCGTGAAATTACGGGAGAGCGGGAGGAAGGGCGTGATGGCGCGAGTCTCCCGCTACGAGTTGATGGGATGGCGGGAGAATGAGCTGGTGGCTTGAGACTCCCTCCAAATGCGGGAGGGTTGATAGCCCTGCGTGTACCCAAGTCGCAACCTGTCCGAACACACAATGTCCAGGTCTACAAATCCAATTAGATCTATAGATCTAGGCCTAGAATTGTTCCGGTTGTTTTCATTTTGGGTTTTTAATGTTTTGTTTTTTGTTTGTTTTGTTTGTTGTTCTGGCTTAGATTTTGGACATTTTGGCAGAATAATCTTTAGTTTAGAATGTAATGAATGATATAACATTAAGCACTAGCGGAATATGAAATAAATCATTGTTCATCCCAAGTCAAAAATTAGTTGCGGAAAGTATAATACTATGGGCTCTCGATCTCCAGCATAAAACTTGACAGTACGCTGAGCTGACACCACATTCAACACATGCATTCACACAGTCAATTAACTGCAGCTGCGTGCACCCACAGCAAAAGCAAGCGCTTCTCAGACTCAGCTCGTTCCTTTTGCAATACTCACTTGACGTCTAATGTTCCAAATGAATCCATTTTCTATTAAGAAATACGTCTTACGGAAACAAATATCATCTGTGAATTTTAATTGACCGTAAGTTTTATACTCCGAACATTAATCAGATTCAAGAAGTTTCGCTTCTCGTTGCTATGCCAAAGGTTACGGTCGGCACGCGCGAATTTACGGTAACGTTCGCAGGTTTATTGACGGACGCGTATGGATATCCGACTTTTTGCCGGATATAATGCATCCCCTGCCTTGGGAATTAAAGGGCCATTGGCTTGCACGTTGAAACAGAGGCGAAATTAGGGGCACCGGTGCGGAGCAACGTTTTCAGTAGTTGGAGCATTGGCACGTCCGAATTTTGAAGGAGACTCAGGAGAGCGGATGCACAGAGGAGGCGCTCTGGGTGATGGCAGGGGGGCACACTCAGTGCCCCTCTCCAACTTGTTCATGTCCCCCAAAATCCTGACGTGCCTTAAATTAATTAATTGTTTAACCAACAAAATGCACCTATTTTACTGTAGATAAGTTTCCCTTTTTCTTTCGAATAAGTGCCCCTTCCCCTTTTTATAAGTGCCTCTTTTCACTTTTGATTAGTGCCCCTTTTCAGGTTTGAGATTTGCTCCTGTTCACATCTTCTGAAGTGTCACTTTTATTTTGACACGTCCATTTTCCTGTAATTGCCTCGTCACCTTTCTAATATAAGTGACTGGCCAGCCCTTTTCCTGTTATAAGTGCATGCCCCCTTCTCATGCATCATTTTTAATTCTAATAAGTGCCCCTATCTGAATTTGGCCCCCTTTACAAGTGCAATAAGTGCAATTTTCCCCCTCAAATAAGAGCCCCACTTTTATATGAGAAGTGCACTTGTATTATGGATGACTCTCTTATTTTGACACGTGCTCCTTTTTCCTATCTAATACATGCCATTTTCCCTTCTGATAAGTGTTCACTTTTCTATTATAATAAGTGCTCTTTCCCTCCGCTTATCATAAATGCCCTTTGTTGCTTTCTTTTCAAATAGGATAAATTAATTTCGTTAACATTATAATTTACCATGACTTTATTTCTACTCTACGCTAAAAATTTACAACCTAACTTCTTATAAACCTCATGCCCTTTTGAACTTCGTAGAATGCCCTTTGCTCAAGAATATAAAGGTTTAGACGATGAATGATTATTCCAATTCACAACAAACACATCACCAAATGTCATTCATTGTATACTTTTTTTTTAAGAAGTAAGAGACATCAGCCTACGTGCTGTGACAAGCTCTTTTTATCACCCCTCATTCTTCCTGAAACAATAGGTTCATGATAATCTTCTTAACAATAATTTCTGCCCCTGAACACAAAATTTTCTCAGATTTCCCAAAAACTCTCTTGCTACGCTCGTTCGCATTCCTATTCATCTTAAAGACTGTCAATACTCCTGGGTCGAAAGGGATTAGACCACACAGCGAGGTCACTGACAGGTGGCTATCTCATTAACTCAGCTCTCAACTAACATCAGAAAAAGAGGATCATGGGGGACCAACAGGCACCGATTGGGGAAGTTTTCTAAATAGAGGGAGCAAGTAGCTACAAGGTAGGACAGTGGGGCTTTAAAGGTCTCAATCACTTTGTCATAACGTGACTGTGCTTAATACCACATCAGGATTGGTTATTTCATATAATAATAGGATCACTATAATCTGTCACAATGCGACCTTTTTAAATTAACTGCATAATATGGTGCTCAAGCAATATTTGGATCAATCTTGAAGATCATCCGTGATAATGTATTAATTACAATGTACGGGTATATAACAACGTCTAATTTTTTTTTTTGTCGCTTTAAAGGTTTTCTTGTAGGTGCCCTTTTTCCAGAATGTGCCCTTTTTTGTTGGTGCCCCCTCCTTTGACGGACGTTTCACCGCCTCTTGAGAATCTATACACAAATCCTGTTAGAAAATATTGATGCAACATCCAATATATATACTTTTTTTATTACTTTCTAGAATGATGCATTATTTTTTAATGAATCTGACCAGAAGCTCCGTAGATTAAAGACATCCGGGCAACAAAAGAAAGAAAAAAGTTGAAAGAGAAAAAAAGAGGACGACAGGGATAAGTGGAAAGGAACATTACGTGAAGGGTGACATATTAATGCTCATGTCCTCCGTGCTCCGGTCGTGGCGCTCAACTTACCCTATAGTAGTCATAGCCGAAAGGCCAAAAATATATATCTTGCATTTCGCATGTTTACACCTGAGTGGAGATAGTGGCAAATGTGGATTAATGTTTTCCCAAAGGACGTATTGCGGGGCTAGCTCTGATTTGAATCCTTTAACTTTGGATTAAGAGTCAAGAGAATAAACCGCTATACCAGTATTTAGGTTAGCCTTGCATGACTAGCATCAATCTCAAAGTGAACACTTCCTTCTTTTCCGCTAGTCCATTGGTTGACTTCAATACAACTTATATATGTCCACCTGCTAGGCTGAAACATCAATATAAGTCAGTTCATGTCATTATGAAAGTTCAATATATATTGCATAATATATAAGTCGATTTATGTCACTTCATCAATCTACCAATTTACTCGACTTTATTTACATTTTTCTTTATTTTGCTTTGTATAAATCACATATCTTTTGTTCGCGCTTTCGTTTTTAATTTAAAAGTTGTTATTATAATTACCATGCATTTTCTTATGTTTTTATTTCATGTTGTATTTAGTTCATATAGAAGCACACCTCTGTGGCTTTGAATACGCTTCTTTTAAAAAGAAAACAGTTGGTGTTGGTGTTACCAAGGACTATCCAGTATCCAGCCTCTCATGGGGGCAGTATAGTCCTTGTTGTTTGTTATAATAGTTATCTATTATTAGTATATTGTTCTGGTTAGTTGAGCAGAGATTGTTACAAGATACGACTTCAATAGATTGTTATATGCACTTATTTTAAGTTACAGTTACTGTTATCAACCTTATACTCGTTGTAAGATTTGTTGTTACTACACTCATCGTGTTTATACTCCCTATATATCTATGTAACATGTGTTTGATGGACCTCTGCCTTGTGCAGCTGATTCTGAAATAAAGTTCTGAATTGAATTGAATTGATATTAAAGCACTTATTGCATATGAATTTAAGGGGAAGGTTGAATTCTGGGAAGAGGTGAAAAATATTTTGTGAGCGTTATCATTCTTATTATGCAAGTGTGGAAGAACACCAGATAAGACAAGTTCCCTGAAAAGCATGGCACATAAATGCCTTCATATTCTAAATATGTCATGTAACATCGTAAAACTCCATGGCAGGATTTTTACGCCACGTGTTCGTGTAGTCCCATATACATCTTTATGTGTACAGTGTTTGTAACTAATTTCTTATCATTTTGAAGTTTCCAGAACCTTGCAATATACACACAAATTCTTATATGCTAGATGATCAACCTTTTCTGGTCGATTCCACGTCGTTTCTTTCACAATGCAATCGCATGACTAGAACTCAACTTCATCTTTAATACTTCAACAGTACTTTCCAATGCCTTCTCGGAGAGTGCGACGCCCCCGGTGTAGTAGCCCCCCCCCCCCCCCCCCTCCCCCAGGAATGGCTACACGGTGGCTACGCCATGCAGTCCGCTATGGGAGAAAAAAATGAAGATCGAGGATAGGTCGAGGGAGAAGTGGGGAACTCTAGCCAACTATAACACGTCAAAAGGAAGGGTTGTCTCTGAGTACAAACATAGTTGCTGTTTGTAATCTGTATACTTTGTATCAATGTGGAAAAAAGGAGGAGGGGCTAATTGACTGCACAGATCTAGATGGTTTACGAAATCGTAGCACGCGCGCATATGATATCCGTGAGATTCGGAAAACCGGAAAACGGATATGCTGACGCCTTGCTCTACACGTACAAGGCATAGCCTTAGACCTACTCAAATAACCGTATATCCGTTTAAAATTGATAACGGCCAGCTGTTTTCTATTGTTACACGTACAGATTTACTGCGTACCCTGGCCTTGATTACGACCTTTAAATCTTGTTAGTTTATTGAGTTGGGGGAAAGTTATATTCTTGTTACATTACATTTGTATTCAATTCATATTTCAAGTGGTATAACGACGCATTTTCCTCGTCCTGGACCAGAGATCTGATCTTGCATCTTGGATTTGAAAGTTAGAGTGTGACCAACCGGTCGAGCAGAGCCCGAGAGCCAAAGGTGAAGGAAGGCCACGGACGAGGCGAGGGCAAGGAGGAGCTGAAGTTAGACCATTGTTGACAGACAAAACAACTGGCACGCGATCGACTACTACTGCTGACGCGTCAGCTGTTCATCGCCAGTCAGACAAAAGAGGAAATCGTTTCGCCGTGACAGTACTATACTTCAAAAATAGGTAAGAAATCTAATTTAATGTCAAGTTTGGCTAACAAAGATCTGCTGCACATGATTTGACACTTCACTGTCACTTTGTCAGTCACATTTAGTCTACTTCTAGTTTTGCCAGAGATATTAATTATTAGATCTAGACCTATGTGTGTTTCGAATCCTCGGCTTAGAAGTTGGAGGTGGTGTAACAATTTTCAAATGCTTTGTAATATTGTTTTACAGGAATTTTTGTTAAGACTTGATTAGACTAAATGTAGATCTAGTCTTGTCAATATGATACCTAGACTCTACTGATACTGAGATAGTATGTGTGATGAGGCCAGGTCACCCGGATGTCCAGATGTCCACTGTCCAAAGTGTGACTTTGGGGACATTTCAAAAGTTATTGGCCCGAAATTTACACAGGAAGTTTAAATTATTACCCCATGGTAAATGGTTTAAATTTTCATTTACATCCCATCCCATGGTCTAAAATTAACCCAATATTAAGGTATGCCTATAAATTTGCGCTAATTTTAATCCATGGGTTTATGTAGATCAGGGTTTAAACTGGCCCCTAAATTTACAATTGTAAACCTTGATCCTTTGTGAATTGGGGCTTAAGAAATATGATATTGATCCAGGATTTCTCATATTTTACACATATTTTATTTCGAATGAATTACTTTATTACCAAATGAACCGCGGAATTTAGAACATAATTTGGTGCAACTAAAAAGTCTGCAGTAGATCTAGACCCTATAAAAGTTAAACTAGACTAGACTCTACATAATTCTTTTTTTAAGAAAAAACAACAACATAATGTTAAGGTTTAAACCTCTTCAAGTTCCATAGTTTTGTAATAAAGAGTAGTATAGATAAAAATACTTATCTTTTTATATATATAATGTACATGTAGTCTATGTAAAACATGAAACCAGAATTATGAAATAGAGTACTGCCTACCGGTAAGCTTTTGCAGGATCGAGCCACCACTGTTAACCGCATACATTGTGTACCATACTCATTTCAGTTTGAGCCTTTAAAACATGTTATGGGGGAAAATGTTTGGTATATGACTTAAATTTGATTCACTGAGGTACATGTAGGCCTTTGTTGTATGTTGTCTATTTTCTTTACACAGTTATTTCAGAGTTTCTAACTGGTTGAGAAGATGGTGATCCTGAGTACACTGTAAATTTAATTTGAATGAATGAAAATTCAAACCTAAAGTGTCTTTGTTTATTGTTAATAAAAACAATATATGTTGAACATTTATCAACCATCAATCTACATGTAAAATGTAAAGGTATAAATAAAGTGGTAGAGTTAGAGTATACTATTTTATTCTGCATCATATCCAAGTATGCAAACCGAACTCAATATTATTATTGTTTTCATTATCTATGATTTATTTACTATGTACTGTTTATATCTGGATTCATTTAAAAGTGTTTAAGCATATAATTATATTTTTTATGTCTATGGAATTATTTTTACCTTGTAAATTCACTTGTATCAGCCATGTCCATCTTTGAAAATAATACATGTACATGTAGTGTGTCAGTCATTGGGATGTACACAATGTACTTTAATAAACCACAAAGACTAATTAGAAACATCCGTAATATACAGTACATGCATATGCAGGCATGTACACTGTACCTACATGTACATGTACCGCTAGTCGTGTACCGTAGGTTTTAAATCTTTGATTTTCAATTTAGAATGGTACTATACAAATTGTCTGTATAGTTTTAGATCTGGATTGGTGCCCTTGAATGTAACAGTCCATTGCCTCCAGTATACTTGTTCGGACGTGCATACAGAGCTCAAACTTTTAGTTTTACGTAATTGTACGTGTAGGTTGCATCACATCTGTTTCACAGTCCACTATTGATTATCCAGCAAACAGCTGATTAGAGTAAATAATCCTCTCAAAGCACTCATGCAAATCAGTCAAGCATGTGGGAGCCATTTCATTGGTCCATACTACCCATTGATCTCTATGATTATCCCCCCCCCCCCCCCCCCCAATCTCAAACAATGCATAGTACACGCCCACTGAACCCAAATTCTACCGATTTGTAGTCTGCTTGCACAGGTCTTTGTACAGGTACTTTGTGTATCTTTCAAAAGTTTGAGATACCGGTAAGCTTATAGTTTTGTCCAATTTTATATTACTGCTCCTGATTATGGAGTTTGACCTTATGATTGGAAATCCATTGTCTAATTAAATACTGGGAGCCCTGTCAATCTTCATGTAGATACAATACATGTACTGTACACTGTACAGTATGTACATGTAGAGTATCTGCTTGGAAAAAAAGCTCTATGACATGTGTATTGTGTAATGTTATTTTTTCAGGTTTTTAATTAAAGTGAATCATAACAGGTTTTGGTCTTAATGTAAGGGCTTCTATGTACATGTAGCTACTAGCTATACTACATGTTTACTCAAATAATATGAACTTTCAAATATTATTTCTTCAAAGAGATAACTTGCAATTTTTATACATTTTCAGTGACCATTAAAATGTCTTGTAGAACCCAAGTCTAACTTGAGTAACATGTATGTGCGAGACCTACGTGTCAGGTTTTATATATATATCTATTATTTTTTTCAACTTCATAACCATTTTAAAGAGAAGGTTGAGTTCTGGGAAGAGGTGAACAATAATTTGTGAGCGTTATCATTCTTATTATGCAAGTGTGGAAGAACATCAGATAAGACATGTTCCCTGAAAAGCATGGCTCTTCAAATGCCTTTATATTCTAAATATGTCATGTAACTCGTAAAACTCGGGGGGGGGGGTAGGTTTTTTACGCCACGTATTCGTGTAGTCCCGTATACATCTTTCTGTGTACAGTGTTTGTAACTTTACCAAGACTTGGCCAAATTTCTTTATCATTTTGATGATTCCAGAACCTTGCAATACACACAAATTCTTATATGCTAGATGATCAACCTTTTCTGGTCGATTTCACTCCGTTTCTTTCACAATGCATTCGCATGACCATAACTCAATTTTATCTTTAATTGTACTGTAGCTACACATGAAATGTTAGGTAAAGGCTTTTGAGGTTTATTTTATATGTTTTAGCCATACACAGATTATTTCTTTAGGTGTTTGGTACACTTTAAGATGAAGTCCACCCTAATAATAAATTGGTTTTTAATAAAGGCAGACAAATTAGAGGTCTCAAACAATTTAGTGAAATTTTGAGCAAAATCCAGTTAAAAAATAGGAAAGTAGTGAATTCCTAAAGTTGTCAAAGTTCAGTAAAACACAAATTGGCAACACTGACATATAAAAATGTTCTTAAGGGAAAATAATGATTTTTGAAGTTTTTTAAGTACAGGGAAAATGGGAGGGGAGCTTGCAAGAATACATCACAAAGTTGCCAATCTAATGCTGGATAGCACCTTCAAAAGTTCATAATTTTATTATTATCAATTGTTGTTTTTTCTCAACATTTGATAGGCCTTTTTCTATCTTACTTCTGCTTCTATTAAAACCAACTTAATATCAAGGTGGACTTCCCCTGTAATCTTTGAGAAGAGATGATCTACATACAGCCTGTTTTACGTACTTCATTGTTTGTATATGATGTGAGTCAAAAATGAACTACTGGTGCATTGTTTTTAATACCGGTAGGTCAAATATTCTTGAACATTAAAAATTGTCATTCTTAAATCATACTATGTAAGACACATACATACAAGTAGAACAAGGACATGATAGGATAGAGTATACATGTAGATCAACTACCAGTATTGTTGTTTATCAGATAAATAAGACCTACAAACTCCAAAGAGCAAACTCCACATATTGGATAATGATAACTAGTACTATTGACTTAATTCATTTAAATTTGGCATTGCCTAGAAGGCCTAAGCCACCAACAACTTGTTCGTAAAATTTCTTAGATTTAAACAGTTCACAAGTGATACATGTGCTGTAGCAAGACTGCGAGACACCAATTTATTTCCTGTTCAATTATCAATATAAGTAAGTATTAACACTTTCTGTGCTGGATACAACATTCAAATTCTTCGGCAGGTTTTGCCAATGTACATGTAGAATGAAAGGGGTTTAAAGTTTTATTTTTTTAGATTAAAAAAACGTATTCCGGTATATCATGATTTTTTTTCTTTCTTTTTTCAATGACAGGTCAAACGTGCTCAATCAGTGTAGACTGTATAGGTCTTGAAAATCAACAGGGGTTGATGTCTGAGAAAGGCCAAGGCATTCCTGAAATAAGAGAATATCTGTGTGACCAGTCTAACAGCATGCCCGGTGAGGATCAACACGGCATGATGAATTATAGGTAAGTTTGATTAAAATAGATTTTAATAAACTCATGGCAATATGAAGAGAAAAAAAATACGACACCTTGAGTTATGCTTATATTGTACACGGACTGGGGGAAATTGTTGGCTACAATTGTACACCATGTTCCAATTAAATATATAATGCCATGATTTCAGTAGTTGTAACAGGTATTGCAACTGTTTATTGATAACAAGTTTTATGAAAGAGGGCACAGGTTAAAGCATGAAGGATCAAGGCTTTAATTCACATGTACATGTCTTGTCGCAAGTACACTGTTTCTCTAAAATCTTTAATAAATTCTTAATTAGAAGTACATGCAGTGTGTGTTGCAGAGTTTTTAAAAAAGCTTAAAGGTAAAGAATTTTTTTGGAAATGCCCCCCCCCCCCCTCTCAAAAAATGAAATGGAACCTCTTATTAGCAATCATATGAAAGAATATGTTTTGACTAATACAAATTTTGCCCAGAAACCGCCTACTAATTGACATGTATTTGGTAAATTATTACATCTATTTGGACCGGATAGATATCGCGCGCGTAGTCCCGTATACATCTTTCTGTTGACAGTGCTTGTAACTTTACCAAGACTGGGCCAAATTTTTTATCATTTTGTGATTCCAGAACCTTGCAGTACACACCTACATTTGTATATGTAGATGAACAACCTTTTCTGATCGATTCCACAACGTTTCTTTCACAATGCAATCGCATGACTAGAACTGATCTTTACCTCTATGATCTAGTGCATGTACATGTACATGTGAATCTACATATTCTCTTATTAAAACAAAGTCCCATGCTTCCTAATATTTGATGTTTATCCTTAATATTAAACATGTACCTCCAGTACATTCTATCCATGGTTTGTGGTTTGTGCATGCAAATTACATGTGTACGCAAATTACAAGTGTATACACAATGTAGAGTACTTTAAAAATCAATAGAGCTAAACTGTTCAGACTGTCACTGTCGGACAAGTCAATAGGCTCGAACACAATACCCTTAATCCAAGAATGCATTTGAATTGTACATGTAGGCCCAACTGACGATCAGCACTCGTGCATGGTGTATCGTGGAAGACTGAGCTCAAGAAATATTATAATACATATCCAGGCACTGAGAAAATGCCCTGGAAAATCATTTGACTTGGCCATCATACAGTACATCCATACATGTAACTGCATATCATAGCCGACAACAACAACAGGGGCATTATTATCGCAGTCCTGGTGCTGTTCATAGGTGTGACCGTGTGCATTTGATGTTGTTATTGTGATCTTCACCTGAATTGTTGGAGAGAAATGGACGACACCCCAAAGAGAAGAAGAGTGGACAAACCAGACGATCTGGTGTTTGGCAGATGGCGGTAAGGTCCATCTACAGTGAAATTGATCTTGATGCCGAATGGATGAGAGCAAAAGTGTGTGTGGCTGCAAGTAGTGTGTATTGGTTGATTGAGGAAGTAATTTAAGTGTGTGGGCGATGCGAGATGAAACCGTGCAGTGGTTCCCCAATTCCCTGCTTATACATGTAAATGAGCTGTGAGTTGCCTCCTTGATGGTGTTACATCATTCCATATTGTATTCATTCCAAATGTAGTAGAAATGGAGACAAAAGATTGAATTGTCATAACAGGGGAGGGTACATTTTACTGAACATGCACACTGTATGTTTGTGATTTATAATATTAAGACGTTGTATGCTATAGACAGTGTACATGTACATGTAACAGCCACAGGTTGGTTTCTTTAAAGTTTCCAATAACATACCAGCATGATGAATACAGAGAGGAATATTGACCACAATAACGGCAGATGATGCATAGAAAATTACCTACACCATGTACAGTGTACATGTACATGTACATGTAGGCCTATGTGTACTTTGAAATTAGAGTAATATATACTGTTAACGTCCTTTGGCAAGATGTTAATCTGTGTTTGCCACACTGTATATATTCCAAATGCAGTAGAAATGTAGTCAAAATATTTGCCACCCAGGTGAGGTACAGGTGTACATGTACCTGGTATGCCACTGGTAGGATCATTCCTTGAAATGCGTGCGCTGACATTATATCAAAATTCACTACATGTATATACAAGAACATATTATTTTTATTATTATTAATGATCCAACAATGCAATTAGTTGTGTGTAATTGGGCTTCTACAGATGTGTATCAATCAGATTTGAAATTTACATTTGGGGACCAACCTTCAACATCAACCAACTGATGTGAGTCGGTCTTGAACTGGGGTCCGCCTGAGTCAGGTACATGTACAGTAGGCGAAGACAGATCTGAAGCTGTCCGTAACACAGAGATTACCCCTATATAGACCAACTCACATTTCCCTAGGAGCATGGGCACAGTACCTGTACATTGAAATCCAAATGCTTGAATTTAGAGAAAATCATAATCATTAAGTAAACAAGTTATTAGGAGTTACGTAACCCTCCCCCGACCCATGTGGTTTATCGTTTGATATCTGAGTGAGGCTCGTCTTGCTTGTGATCAAGACAATATTGTGCTAATTCTATTCCTAGATCTAGACCAGCTATGACTGTTTTACCATGAACCTGGTTTTACGAACCTGCACAAATGTTTTGATACCGTAGTTGGAATAACCGCAAATGTTCCGATGATAGTATATGACCTGGTTTGGAGGAAGTGAGATTAGGGGATTGCTTCCTATTACATGTTACCCTTTCATGTCGGTGGATTTAAGAATTAGCACTCTCAGACTTGTATTCAAATGAAGGACTTCCTGACTGGTTGGTCATTGGTTGATTCAGAGAGGAAAAGTTTAACTCCTGCAGGTTCAGCCATACATATTGGAGCAGTGATTACTCTTGGCAAGTTGGCAGCTAAATTGGTTGGGTATAAATAGCTTTGACAGGCTGGAAGCAGTGGCTTCCTGGACATTTGCGCATATTATCAGCAAGAATCAAGACCGATTTTAGTTGACTCGATCTGGAGCGGTATAAAGTCGACTTCTCGTATTCCTTGTGGACTCTATAACTGGGGCTTTAATACGATTTATCATTCAATCACTGGGAATCTGAAAATTGAAGCCTTTCGTCTCTTGTTCTCACTACTCTGTTGTTCAGATATTAATACAAGGATTAGTTTTTGATAATCATGTCTGGAATAAGTGTTTATGTGAACGGGCATCTGCAGGTGAATCAAAATGGTGCATGTGAACGGCCACGAGCAAATACCTTCAGGTAATGTGTACTACTGCAGCAATTTGTGTTGTCAAGATTTTGGAGCTGGATTGAAACCTGCTTTCTGTAGAAATTTTCTCATTAACCTATTGTTCAAAAGTCAAAACAAGACATTCTCAAGTATACTGTACATGTACCAAGGAGATGATCTCCCTGCATGTACGGTACATGTACATGCATACATGTACTACTGGGATGTTTGACTTTACACACAATTCTTTTGCCCAGTATGTAAATGTATAATACTGATAAAAAGGGAAATCTGTTTTGAAGGAAAATCCTTGACGAGTATGTCTTTCTGGTAGCAAGTTGATATACCCAGATATTTTTCTCCCCTAGATGAAATAAATGGATAATAGACTGAATGTCGTACAGGACATGCATTCTGCACAGAAAAATTTCCATAAAGAGGAGAAAAGAAAGATGTCCTATAAGTTATACCCCCCCCCCAAAAAAAAAAGAGAAAGAAAGGAGGAATCAAATACTGTACATGTACAAGAACATGTACAATTATCAATATTGCTACATGTAGTGTGTCTTTTTATTAAAGCTTGTAGTATTCAAATATTCAAAAGTCTGTACAATACAGGTATATGGCCAGCATGTACAATGAACATTACAACATGAGCAGTTCAGCTGTGATTTGCAAAATTAATCAAAAAATTGTACTCTGCCTACAGTACTGTACGTACACATTGTATTCTAGCATGCGAAGTGAAATGTACAAACAATTGGTGTTCATGCATGCATAGCAGGTATGTGTTTGGAAATAATTTCCATTGTGTTGTAATCACTGGGCAAACAGATCTCAGTTAACAATGAGGTGAACTTTGCCTGGAAGAGATAAGGAATTGTTTGATATTATGCTTCAGCAGAATAGAATCAAGAAACTATTAAAATTGAATTTCTCTTTTAAGAAGAAATGAGGAATGAAGAACGGTGGCATATCATCTGACATGTGAAAAAGGAAAGGGGAAAGGCACTTGGGAGAAGAAAAGATATTAATAATATTGTTGCACATGACGGACAGTAGACTTATCTGCGACGACTGTACATCACGATCTACTGACCAAACTGCCAATTTGAGAATCGCATCGACTTACAATGAATATGTAATTATTTCACATTCTAAAGATGCATAACTTAATTTCTTATTATTGGTCCGATTTATTTAAGACTTTTGTCATTCTGTTTCACTTTTTTTTTCTGCTTTCATACAAACAAAGTTATTACAAGGGGTTAGATTGCCCTTAGATGCGCACATGTAAATCCAGGTTTACTTTAGATGTTCATATGTTGGAAAAAAACCTCTGTTGATTCTCCTTTTCTTCCTTTTTTATTGCTATTCATAAATACATGTACTGGTGCTACATGTACGTGCATTTGTAAGTTGTGCATTTGTACCATCCTGCATCCTGCTGATATATAATTATGTGTTTTATTCTTCTTCTTCTTCTTTGTTTTGGTTCATAGTGGAGCACCGAGCACAGACTCTGGTATAAACCATGAAGGTGGAGATGGGGTGGATTACCTGAGCTCTCCGGCTAATGTCAAGAAGTATCGCAGAGAAGCTCACAAGAGGGTCTTTGTCAACAGGAGTCTCAGCATGGAGAAAATCAAATTCTTTGGATTCGATATGGACTACACTCTAGCAAGTAAGTTTGACAACATGGCCAGGGGGGTGTTTCACAAAGATCCTAAATCGAACTAAACTCGAAGTTGAACTTAAACATTATGGAGAGCCATTTGTAGCCTTAAAATAAATGAATGTTCAACAGCAAAAATTTAAGTATTTTTGACTTTTCATAAATTCCACATCAAGAACATGAAATCTCCTTGATAATAGAAAATATAAATGATTTGAATCAAAATTGTATGCCTTTTAAAATAACTTTTTCAAAATATTTTCAAAGATGCTAACAGCTTTCCATTATTGTTAAGTCCAACTTAGAGTTACAGTGTAAGTTCGACGTAGGATCTTTGTGAAACACCCTCCTGGTCATATGCCTGTAGACATAAAATGTACATCTCTTAAGATTTTAAAGGGGATTGAAATGAAACTAACATTACATGTAGTTAATAAAGTAATGATCTTATTCAAAATTGTCAGCCAGTTTTAAAAAAATGAAATCACTCCTATTAAATCATCAGCTGATGTTTTGGGTATTTCTTTTTCTTTAATACATGTCCATGCAAAATGTGTAGTAATGACAAGGATCAAGAGAGTACATTGAACATGTATTTCATTCGGTACGAGCGGGAAGGGAGTAAATTTCTATGTACCGGTATACAGTATTCTTAAACACAAAGGTAATTAATGCCCTTCTGGCTCTGAACATACGATTTGTACACTTTATTCTTAGTGACCAACAAAACATGTATAAGAGGGCTTGATGTTAACAATGGTCTGGTACACATGAGCCCCATATTGTAATTTCAGACCCCTCCCCTCGAATATAATAATAATGAAGAAAAAAATAATTAAGTAAATTAAAAAAATTATCAAAGATATAATAAAATACAAGAATAAATCCAATTGACTGTTTATCTGTGTAGAAATAATCCCAAAATGGTGCAATAAAGGTTAACAATTCAATCTTTATAATGACCTTTCAAGAAATAATCTTTTTCTATCTTGTAATGACATCCTAATGTATTGTCAAAAGTCCAAAAAGAGCCAGTATTGATGGCATTATGGTGTATCAGTTGATTTGAACTCCACTCAGGCTTCAGTTTATTTATCTGACCAGCTGTTTGGCATGAGCAAGAGACCTGGACGAACTTCTATTGCAGTACCGTAGTCTACATGTGCAGACTCACTTTATGTAGTATCTCTGCTGTTTTGTAGTTGTGACAGTACGAGATTTTCTTTTTATAGAGTTTTATTGTTTAGGCCGTTTGCTTATAAATGTAATCACCATGTTTGAACAAAAATTGACACTTCCTATTTTCTCAGAGGGTCATTATGGGGTTCCTTGCGCAACCAACGTATCCCCTATTTGTATCAAGCCTCGCTTTACATGTACATTGTATAAAGTTCAAATGCCTGAACTAACATGCTCATGACATCAGTGGCTGTAATAATGTTTACCGAATAAACTTGTAGGTCTACAGATGTCAAGTCTCAATTGTTCTACCGTCATATTATATTTCTGTTTGAGGGAGCATCTGGAACGCTTTCTGTGAGATCTACCGATGTAGCCTGACAGTGATACCATATGTGCTATTTGAAACAATGCACTGCCATGACCCCTATCAGGAATGATAACACTGTTGATACATTGCGTGCTGATTGATTAGCAAACAATGGGGTGTCATCCCTGGATGTGCAGAGTGTTCAAAGGCAATGTTAGTGAACTATTAATGTATTTATTCAGTACTTACCTCAATGTGCTCCAAGCTGATACCAATCCATGCAGAGCTACCCCTCCCTCATCAGGCGTGTCCCCAAAACGGGTCTCTGCAAGGTAACCCAGATTCCTTCAGAGGAACAAGATTGGTCTTCTTCTTCTTTTTTTTTTAGGAGTGTCTTTCCACTGCAGGATCAAGATGCTATGTACATGTAGGCATTATGCATAAAGAACATGCAGGATGTTGCAGACGGTGGTCTCATATTGTACACTTATATTTATATCCAGACCCCAATATACAAAAATGAGTATGTAATCCTAAAACCTGTCCTACTGAACTCCCTTTAATATCAATTAGACTGGGCTTCCTCCCCCTTTCGATCACCCCCCCCCCCCCTCTCCCCCCACCCATCTACATGTATCTGTAGGCAGTATTATCAACGTTTCTTCTTTTGAACTCTAGTAATACATAATGTACACATGACATTCATAGCATGAAGGCCTGCATGTACATTTCAACTTGAAATGACATCATAGTATTGCCCCATTCAGACAGAGAAATCTTATATCTTACAGGAACATGTATCGCAATCTCATGGAAAACAAATGTAACAATCACCCTAACACTTTTTTCTTTAGGTGTTACAGGTTCCATATCACTACACTGTAATTCACAATACATGTACATGTACATGTATTAGCTTCAAATATACAAAGAAATATTTAAATGTACATGTACTCCCCGTCAATATAAAAAAGACTGGTTAAGTATATATTTACAATGTAAACTAGTTGACACGCCCATACGGGCTCACATAGAAAAGGCCACTGACCAGACCAAAGTCCAACCTCCATTGTACATACAGGTGTACTGTAGGTTCTGTTTGTGCGCTTTTATTTTACTTTATCCTTTATTTTTGTTATACTCCTTAATAATTGTTAACCTGCATGTACAGCTGTACATGTTCATGAAATGCCTGATAGTAGATAGTTGAGGTCGATCTTATTGAATCTACATGTAGCTACATTGTAAATCCAATGTATACTGTACACAAATAATTTTATTCCAGTGATTGGTCCATTTTAAATCATGACCCCTTAAAGTAAAGAAAACATGTGAATTAGCAGATGGCATATCCTACACTGAATCTAGAAATATAGCCCTTCCCCTTCCATTTTTCCAACTTATCCAGCGTTGTTATTGATTCAGTTTCAGTTTGAGGACTTATTTTGCTTGTTGTAGTCATCCTCACTGTACATTTTGGGCAAGCTGTTAGTTTTACACAACTACAGTATAAAAGGGTTTATAAATGATTAAATGTACTTGAAAATTGAATTGAATTTACAATAAATAATGAAGCAGGCCAATCGTGGTTCCCACAGTTTACCCACGTATAAATTAGTGTATGATGCACGGATAGTGGATTATTCAAGAGATGTAGGACGAGGTATGATTGCAATGTGAAATATGATTGGATAACAAATCTCTATGCATGATGCCATCAGCAAACTGTGCAAGCAATGCAGTAACCTGATCTTTGTTTGTCAGCCTTCAACTCTATCTACGTTCACCTCTACAATGCCCTGAACTACTTGTGTACTTTGTATTGTTCTGTAATTGTTTTATATAGTCTACACACTTAGGAGCAGTTTAGAATTTTAAAAATGGGCTGTTGTATCACCTTGACCACATCAGCCAAAAAAACCATATTACATGTAAAACCTGGATGGAGAGTGGAAGATGCAGATTAATGTCTTGCCAAAGGATATTGGTGACAAGCTGGGATTTGAACCCTCAACCTTTGGACTGAGCTCTAGAGTCAAGTAAATGAACCACTACACCATTATGCCTCCACAAGTCATGATTCCCTAATATATGTACAATTGTATGTTAATAGCGAGATGGAGGGAGAGTGGTGTATGTCGGCACACTTTGATTTGCCTCTGTCAGTCTCCATTCGTCATCTTACATCAAAGTCATTAACCAAAGGCAGGGCTATTTCATTAGGTGAAATGATGATTGATGGCAGGAGCTACATGTAGGACAATACTGTATATTCCTGCTGTGCAAGATGCACAACCTCTCTGTACATCTATTGTCTGTGCAGTCTCTCAGACTCTCACATCATAATAATCTCTCTCTCTCTCTTCCTCTCTCTCTCCCTTTCTTTATATCTCCCTTTCTTTCTCTCTCTCTTTTCCTCCTTCTCTCTATCTTCCTCTCTCTTCAGTGTACAAGTCTCCCCAGTACGAGCAGCTTGGCTTTGAACTGATTGTCAAGCGTATGGTTGCCATTGGATACCCTCAGGTAAACAAGCCTTCTTTCACTGCATCTATTTCCTTTTACAATCTGGTACAAGGACATGCTGATTATGTAGGCATTGGAAACTAATTTATCATATTTCCAATATACAGGTATACTCTGCTTATAAATGTTAAATGAGGAGGATATAGTAAATATGCAAATGGACATTTGTATACACTGTAGGACGGGGAAGGGTGGGGGAGGGGGGAGGTGTGTCTGGACACTTAACAAGTAAAGTTAAGTAAAGTTAAAGTTAAATAAGCAAAAAAAATGCACTGACCATCATACATATTCGTCTTTCACAATATTGTCCAACATAAGTCTTAAAAGATGTATAGAATATTGCATGTTAACTTCATCAAATTGCTGTTTTAAATCAACTGTCCGGATACACAACCTATCAGGACACACACAACATCTTGGTATACTTTTGGTGAAGATATATTAAAAGATTGCATTGTTATTATCATCTTTTATGACATATGACATTTTATCATAAAAACAGAAAATAGAAATTTATTTGAATGAACATGAGGAAAATGGATTTGTCTCATTTGAAAAAATATCTACACAAGACATTCTTTACACAAAGATTCTACATGTAATGATAATAATAAAAACGTTACTTATAAAGCACTTACCACCGAAGTCTCTAAGCGCTACATGTACATGTAGGTATCTCTCAATATATGTAAAAAATTTGAAGAAATGTGACAAATTTATTTTAGAAAGCTAACATCAATAGGCAGTGAATATTTTTGACTTGGCAATTTCATTGTAAATTTGTTGTACAAACATTGATTTCTTGTTTTATTTCCAGGATCTGTACAACTTTGAATATGATCCATGCTTTCCTATCAGAGGTCTTGTCTTTGACAAGGTTTATGGAAACCTACTTAAGGTGAGGACACAATGTCTATAAATTACCTAAGCAGCTATATTGTATCATTTTTATTTATTTTGTGATTATATTTTATTACCATTATAAAGAAGTATATGTACATAAGTTCTTAGATTTCAATGTGAGTGTTAATTTTTAAAAAATTGTATTGCATATTAGAAACAACCTGTAGAATACAAGTAGTTCCTGCTTATTAAATATCATGCTTTATTATCAAACACTTGATATTTTCTAACCCCACCCCCCCCCCTGATTTTCTGTAGAGTATAGTCATGAAGTTTGTTTTATAACTGTGCATGTACAGTACATCCAATAGTTTGAGGAATATACATAATAAGATTACATTTCATAATGACACTTTCATGTGCAAATGTGCATGTTCATGAAATTGATAAAGTACTCTTTATCTGATTTAAAATATGATTGATAAATCTCTCAATCTTCAGATTGACACATATGGCAATATCCTGGTATGTGTACATGGCTTCAAGTTCCTTACTTCAGCAGAGATTGCAGAGCAGTACCCAAACAAGTTCATTGCCCTCAGAACAGAACAGGATCGTCTGTACGTCCTCAATACGCTCTTCAACCTGCCAGGTAAAGGAAGACTTGTTTGCAAATACCCATTGAAGATAATCAGAGCCCCACTGCACTACTTACATGTATAGCTACTTGCACCCTCTATATAGCAAACAATGCTTAATCGGTGACCATTGGTCCCCTTGATCCTCTTTTTCTTATGTTAATTGAGAGCTCATTTGATGAGATAACCACATGTCAGTGACCATGCAGGGAAGTCTAATCCCTCCCGGCCAAACTAGTGTAGTGGGGCTTTAACAGTGTTGGTCTTGCTTTTGCATTGTGAAAGTGTGATATTGTCCAGAAGCTATTGGGTAAGACTAAGTATTGCTTTTCCACTTGGGAAAGAGGAAATAATGAGATAATGATCCACATTTATCAGAACTCATTGTTCTATTTTGAGAATAAAATATTTTCTTCAACTTTTGTCTGATGATATTTCTTTGGTTTGCCCTATGTAGAAACCTACCTCATCGCCTGCTTGGTGAACTATTTCTCAACTCAGCCAGACTTTGTGGACGGTGACAAGGGGGTGAGGAAAGGCGATCTCTTCATGTCTTGGGAGAGTATCTTCTCTGATGTCAGGAACACCGTTGACTGGGTTCATCTCAAGGTAAGAATAACATTACACCTGTATCTGTCTTAACTCATTGAATGCTAAATTCTTTCATTCCCAAAGGCTTACTTAATGGACCACCCATTTCCTGTTGGTTAAAAAGAGAATCGTAGTTCATTTTCTTTGGATAAACAAATAATTGAATTGTTCCATGATGTTTGGTCAATTTTTACAACATGAGAAGTGAAAAATCATTTCTCCTGTCAAATCAACGACATTTGCTACAAAAATAATTTGAGCATAGAAGACATACATTGTAGCCATTTATGTCAAGAAGTTCTTGAGCTTCATGATGTTTCAAAACTCTTGACCTGAATTTAGCATAATGCATTGTGAATATGATGTCCATGATACTCTGGTAAAAGAAAAGAAAGAAAAGGAAAAGAAATTTGTAGTGAGTAACTTAAACATAAATGATTCTGGCAGGACATAGCATGAAAGTCTTAAGCACTTGATTTAATCTTCCATCTGTAATGGAAGAGCTCATACCAGAGTAACATGAATGTTGTCATATGTGTTTGCCCCAATGACAAAGAATGACCGAAATGTAAATTAAATTCTTCCTAGTTCCTACCTTGCCCGTCTTTAAACTTTGCTTTTTCTCTACTCTTTATTTGTGCATGTATGTGCCCCTCTTTCCCTTCCACAAATTTTAACAGGACAAAAAGACAAACATTTTGGTTGCTTAATTTGTAAAGGAAACCTCACCCCAAAGAATATGTGTAGGTATGTTGAAAGATAGATATATTCCTGCCTATTGAAGTACAATATTCCTTACAAAAATGTACAAGAGATATATAAATGAAGAAATTTTGGGCATGATGTAAAGCCTTTAATAGCATGCGTGGACGCAGCTATTTTTGTGGTAATGTGTCGTACCAGGCAAACTTGTACATGTATTATGCACCAAGCTTTAGTTGGATTGAATTTTTAATTCAATTACAAAAAACTTTCTTTTCAATGAGGGAACATGATAGCTGATGAGGTAAAAATTATATTTGTAGAAAAATATAGCAGGGGAACAATTGTATCTCATTAATTTAAAAATACTTAAACATAGCAGTTGACAAAGCTATTTCATTTATATGAACCCTTCACCTCAGAAAATTGTAGTACAAAAGATAATATCAGGTGAATGGAACAATTCCTTACAGCAGACTTTGGAAGGAAGTATCCTCGGATAGTACGTCACGTTATCAAGAAAATGGCGATGCCCATGTTGTGCTAAGAATATCCTACTTTGTACCTTTCTCATACACTTTGGTTGGGAATCTTGTAGATTAATAGGCAAAAATACAATAAATCTATCAGAATAACTAAAGTTATTTCTTGGGGTGAGGTTTCCTTTAAAAAAATTGAATGGATAAAACGCAGGCAAACTAATCATTGGTTCCAGCTGATCTATGGAGTTCTTTGCTCAGTCAGCTTCCTGTCATTTTTCTTTGTACTCATTTAGTCAGATAGCTTTACTCATTCATCCATTATTATCATAACTATTGCACCTATTTCATCATATCATTATGTGAACTAAAGATGAAAAGCTTTTGACTGTTGTTCTTTCATCAGGGTTCCCTCAAGGATAAAACGGTAGAGAATCCTGAAGAGTACATCATCAAGGACCCAAGATTACCCATGCTTCTACAAAGGTGAGGGCAGCAGACTGGACCGACCACTCCGTCTTCTACGCAACCTTTTCGCTTTTACTCTCCAAGTTTTCTTCTTCTTTTTCTTTTTGTTTGTTTAGCGTATCTTAGTTCAGTATCAGACACTAAAGACTATTCAGGCAAGCCAACTGGTCTATTGATACCATTACCTTATAGGCAGCTAGCTATCAGGGAACTGTTCCGTTGTTCTCTCAACTGCACCATGCACTTTCTGGACAATCGGTAACCATGTTCCCTGCACCTCATTCAGTTCAACCTATAGCTGTAGCCGCAGATGACATCAAGCTCTTGAAGAGGTGCTTAGGTGCAGGTACAGGTGCTCAAAGCATGATCAGACGCAGGCTTTGGTGTTTCCTAGTGGCAACCTGCAGGGGAAATGGTATCAATAGTTTGTGTGCCTCGCCTTTAAAGTCATTGTACACTTGTGTGTTCCACATTTTCTATGAAGAACATAGAAAGGACTTACCCCTAAGCTGATGGTGTCTTTAGATGGAAGACTCGTCGCCGGTCTAAAGATTAATAAAGCTCTTAGCGGGCAAGGTTGCTGTGTTTTCCATCACCTTATCTCTCATCTTCTCAGGGCTAAGACCCAGGTCTGAACTGCTCTCTTGGATGAGGATAGCGACAATACATGTAAATGGGTTGGTCAAAGCAGCCCCGGCACTTTAAGAAAACAGGGCGCACCTGTTCACAATAGTATCACAGGTCCTCAAATTCATGTAGTAGTGAACTTTCTTGTCGAAAACTGTGGTTGCATGTTTATATCCGCTTTAGGGACCTCATGCATGTTTCCCATTAAATCTTTTTCTTATTGAAACATGAATGAAGCAAAACCTGGATACAATCTGATTCTGCTTTATGTCCCCTCAACTCTTTCTAAGGAAGAGACCAGGGCCCCATTGCATAAAACTTAGCATTGGTGATGACTTTGCCATTAATAATAACTTCCATGGAAACCTTGATTTGATTCGCTTTTGGGTGCTGTTACTATGGTAGTTAATATTGATGTCAAAGTTACCATCGATGGTTGGTAAGTTTTGATACAACGGGGCCCAGTTAACTATTAAATGCATTCAAATTTCATGCATGCATTACTTAAGTTACTGTTGGCAACCCAATACCTTGTTGATGTTTGTCTGACATAGCAACAATTATTGTATGATCCATGAAGATACTACTTCATATGTTGTGTAGTATAAGTACCAGCAAAAATATTAAAAAGTTGTTGCATGTAACAGTTTTTGACTTTAATTCAGTAATTACTATTCTGGGCATTTGGTAAGGATCATCGATTCATTGGCATCTGACTGTACTCATTTTGAACAAATACAATTTCCTGTACATGTGTAACCTTTAAATGGGAAGTCCACCCTGATATTAAGTTGCTTCTAATAGAAGCAGGAAAATGAGATGAACAGGTCAGTGAAAGTTTGAGCAAAATTAGATATAAAATAAGAAAGGTGTGAATTTTTAAAGTTGCTATCAATCAAACTCAAATTAGCAATTCTGTGACGTGTCTGGCGATATCCCCTCCGATTTGCTCTGTAGACTGTACATAGTAAAGAAATCAGAAATGTTCATTTTGCCCTAAAGAAATTCCAATCATACATTCACCCTAAATAAAATCATTGCAAATATGTTTTCATATAACCTCTGTATGAAACAAATCTATTCCATCATTAAAAACAAAAATAAGAATATGAATTGTTTATGAAATTTTCTATGCAGAGCAAATTGGAAAGGACCTCAAAAGATATGTCACAGTTTTGCCAATTTGTGTTTCTAAATTATTCTAATTTTAATTGGCTAATGCTCCACCTTTCACAAATGTATTTTTCTCTTGATTTTCTGCTTTTATTGATACCAGCTAATTATCAGGGTGGACTTCCCCTTTAATAAAACTAAACAGGTGTATATTTCTCTTTTGATTATTCCACTTGGTAAAAGTATATTGAGTGCATTGTGTTAAATTTGAATCTATGCAGATATCTGGATTCAAAATTAACATGGCCAGCGACCTTTAAGTGTGGTTTGTTTGACTAGATTAATCTATTTTCACAGTCATTCATCAATCTTATCTAACCTGGGCAAATATTCACATAACAATTTTATTTAATTTTTTGTTCAAATAATTTTCCACGGCTACTGAAATATTCTCTGTAAATCAAGAAATATTTGTATTTATCATTTTTTTTTAAATGATCTCTTATACTTGTAGAATGAGAGACCATGGGAAGAAGGTTTTCCTTGTGACCAACAGTGGCTACAACTATACCAAGGTAATGTTCGTTATCATTTCAACATCTTCATTTTAAAACATGTATAAACCATAAACCATATTCACACAAAAAATGACACAGTAAAAGTAAATACACAAATAAGAATAGATTAATGTAAATGTGGTGGGATCATAAAAAGTTTGGTAAAACTTGTAAACGTGATCCAATTAACATGAACACAAATATACATCATAAGTACAGAACAAAATACGATAGGGCAATCAAATTAGCACAGAGAATTGTAAATTGATATCCATATTCAAGCTTTTCATAAGAATGTCGATTTTTCATATATCTAGGACATTTACAGTGTAATAATGAATACTCATTTGAAAGAGTTTAAAGAATATGTGTTTTTGGTGTGGTGCTATATTCCATATAGGGGGTACCTTGTATGTTATTATTGATCTAGAAAATAAATTCTCTTGTACTGTCAAACATGTCTTTGTGGCCACCTTTCTGTAAAGGCCACCTGTCCTCTTTATTCCATTGAGGGAGAAATGAGTGTTGTAGAACCTGTCCAGAAAGGCCACCCGTCTACTATGGCCACTTTTTCTGTTTCCCTTGGGTAGCCTCCATAGAAATACTTACTGTGTTACCATATTAGTTTATTCATTTCCAATGAAGCATTCAAGTGATACTCTTTATTCAGTAACCCAAGCAGCAACCACACATGGTACTTCATGGAGTAGAAATCAATTAAAAGACAAAAGCTGTTAAAACTGTCTTGTGTTTTGGAATAAATAAATCTTGTAGCTTTGATTGGTGAGTACATGTAGTTGATTTGAGTTTATTGAGCAATAGACAGGCATTTGTAACAAATGGTAATAAATACCCTTGACCCCGACTCCCTTCATGGGGAATGAGAGGAATACAGGTTAATGATATTTATATTTCTTTAGCATTGCAGCACCCATTACATACATACATACATACAATTGTCTTTTATATAGCGCAACATCCAACGAATTGCTCGAAGCGCTTTACAGAAATAATGACATAGTAAACACAAGATAATACATGTATAAAAGAGTAATTATAATAACAAACAAAAATATTAGAATTACAATTTACTTATTGAAGAGGTACGTTTTTAGTTTTTTCTTGAAAATTTCAACTGAGGGAGAGGTACGGAGGTCGAAAGGGAGGGTATTCCAAATTTTGGGGCCATAATAAAAGAAACTACACTCCCCCGATCTTGAATTGATACGTGGTAATCGGAGGAGCGTGGGGTCGTTAGAAGAGCGGAGGTTGTATTGAAGTCTAGGAGGAGTATGTAGAAGCACAGACAGATACATTGGTGCACAATTATTCAAACATTGGTAGACAATTAGGGAAACTTTGTATATGATTCTGTTATTTACGGTTAACCAGTGTAATTGCTTAAGTAGAGGAGATGCTGATTCATACCTGCTCCCTCCCAAAACAACCCGGGCAGCACGATTTTGTGTTGTCTATTTTTATTCTAACTTATTTTAATTTCAAACAGATTATCAATTGACGTATCTTTCTCATTGTCTTTTGTCCTTTCAGAAAGTGATGAAGTACTTGTTTGACTTCCCTCATGGACCTGCGGTAAGTGACAATCTTATTCTGCATTGAGAATTCCCCCAAAAAGATTTAGATATGCACCCTGTGTAGTCAGAGAACTTGTTACCATTTGTTAGGCGTTCCTGTTCAGTAATTTTTCAGAACAGACCTAGATCCCATCATAGAAATGCAAGTGACATACAAAAGGTATGTCAGTGCCCTGTTAATCTTAGATTTCTGGCTTCTTAGGAAGATTATCAAAAACTGGTATTACAAAAATAAAACTTGAAAATGATAATAATCCTTATTCCATTGACTTATAACCACCACATCACAACAGGACTAAGTAACCTTCCATTCACCACCAGTGCCAATTGGCACAGGCACTCGTTCGTGACATGTGCACATTGACACAAAACAATAGGCACCAATTAATGAAAGGATGGCCTTGTGCAACACAATGGCTTTGCAAAATTGCCCATTTCTGATCTTGATTAGCTCCATGACTACCCTTGTATCTTGAAAGAAACAATTTATTAATCTTAAAGCCTTGGTTATATCTTTCCCGTAATAAATACAATGTGGTACAGGGATATCACTTGTGTAGCATCTAAATAATTCATGAGAAAGTATAGAGCAACACCCAAGGTGGAAGAGCTTGAAATGTGTACATTCAGAATAATGCATACTAGAATACCTTACCTTGACCGAAGAACTATTGCTGGTATGATAAGGTTCATGGATAAGTAGATGTGATCAGTGACTCACTGTGATTTTACAATTTTATGCCTGCAGTTTGAACTAAAGCCAGGTTAAATTTCAAAACACTTGAGAAGCACATTACGTGCAAAGAAGCATTGTCTCATATGTGTAATATGATTTTAGTTGACTGATTCTCACTGTGGTATCTATATTGAAGAACAACTTAATATTTTGGATTCTACATTGCATGTGAATTTGTGGAGTACATGAAGGGAAAGGCTGCATTAATACAGCTTCCCCTTGTCAAGATTAGAGTATCTTACTTGGGGTCATCGGTGAGGGAAACATAACCAGCACCACCCAAAACATTTTTTAGAAGATCACAGAAGGTCATTTATATACTTCAATACTTGAACTGTCACAATAATACTGAATGGCTGCCCTCAAAAACAAGAGATCATTATAGACAGGTGGTCTGTGTAGAGAGATAGTCACTGAGGCAGTTTTAACAATGAATAATTTTGCTTGTATGGTTATTGTATTTACTTAATTCTATGGTCGATGATAAGCAACTTGAGTCTTTTGATAGTTGCACTGGTCTACAATATTCAACAGCACCTGGTTAAAATTGAAAGACCTCTCTCTGTCAGTATTTTCCCCTGGCTGCAGAATGCTGGCCATGTGAATCACCTACAAGCATGGTTTAGCTTTATGACTCACTCAATAAATTTATCTATTTCTGTAATCTAATCTTTTGTCCTCTCAACTCCCTACAGCCTGGAACTCCTCACAAGAAGTGGTACCAGTACTTTGACATCACCATTGTAGATGCTAAGAAACCAAGCTTCTTTGCCAACGGAACTATCCTTAGACAAGTTGATCTCGTAAGTCATGGCTCTTTATCTCTGTTTACCGATTCCCAATAGATTTGGAGAGTTTGTGTTTTGTCTGGCGCTATTAGATATGATTTTGATGATTTATTTGAGAGAAAATGTGTCTTTTCTTGTCTGTATTGATTATTGGCAGCAAATTAAAAACCCAAAACCTGAAAACTTTTTTTAAAATGAATCATGTATTTTATCAGGTATTTTAAAGGGGGTGTAGCAAGGCAGATACTGGTTAATGCCATCTATGTCTTCTTTTGGACAACTGCACGTAAATGAATGGACTTGATTTACAGTAATCAGTGTTTTGATCTCTACATGGTCAGCATTCGCGAAACAGACCAAAGTTCTCCTCATGCTTCAATTTTGCGTATGTTGCACGCATGTGAATACTGCGGTCTTGTTGACCGTAGTCGTATTATACCCAATAAGCCCGAGTCAGGCCACGGGAAAGACACATATTCTCTTAACGCTACACCCAGGCTCAGCAGTCAATGCAACAGGAATAACCAACTTCAAGGAGGCTGCTCTACCCTCCATCAGAATGATGCAGCCCCCCGGTTGGTTCTCACATCGGTTGTTACTTGCACTGGACTCAGCATATTTTAGTTTAAATTGACAAGTGCTTTGTCCGCACACCATTCCAGCAATTCATGACACTCCTTGTAGTTACTCGCCTCACCTACCATCCCAGTATAGCTTCCTGAGTGAGCTGCCAAAGGGATTACCCAACTAAGGAAACCCCCTTTAAGGACAAGCAAAATAAATAGATAAACAATGAGTTATGTAAACTTGCTGAAAACCACAGATAAAGTAGTATAACATGTTATCCTCAGTTTGTCATTTAATTTGCTGCAAACTTTATTAATCCATAGTCTTCTTTTTTAGATACAATTGTGATGGATTTTTTAAATTCAATGCAAGATTGTACATTATGTTTAGACTTTAGATTGAAACGTGAAGATCCACAATATCACTTTATCATTATGACTGGAGTGGTAACAAAGGTGTGATGCTATTTTTATCTGCACCATATACATGCATCAATTTACTTTCCTAATTAAAGTGACTCTGTAACATTGTCTTAGATTCTGAAACAAAATCCTGGATTTAGCTCATGCTGCAATGATAATTATAAACCTTTAGGTCAGTCAGGAACCCCATGACTTTTACAAGCCAATCTCCTGTCTGATTATCAAGATATTCATGGTTGGAAATCAAAATCAAATTTTCTGTTTTCCCAACAGGTTTTTATAATGTATTGGGGAAAATGGGTATGGTAAAACTGTTTACTCAAATATTTTTAATTTTTTGAGGCACTTCATGATCTTTTTGGAGCGCAATTTTTTAGGACTTCTATATACCACATCACAGACGCTGATAACACATGGGCCATGCATCTCAGATTTAACATTGTTAAACAATGCTTTTAAAGCTTATTTTCCTGTCTCTAATGAATCACAGGATACAGGTTCCCTGAAGATTGGCAGTCACGTTGGCGTGGCCCAGCAAGGAAAGGTCTACTCGGGAGGATCCTGCGATGTCATCTGTGAGATGCTCCACGCCAGAGGCAACGATGTCCTCTACATCGGAGACCACATCTTTGGAGATATCCTCAAGTCTAAGAAGGAGAGGGGATGGAGGACTTTCTTGGTGGTACCGGAGGTTGCACAAGAACTCTCAGTCTGGACAGAGAAGAGAAGTAAGAAATATAATTGATGAGGAGGAGGAGGAGGAGGAGGCGGAGGTGATGATGATGGTGGTGAAGGTGAGAATGGTGATGATGATGATGATGATGATGATGATGGTAATGGTGGTGATGGTGAGAATGGTGATGATGATGATGATGATGATAGTGATGGTGATGGTGATGATGATGATGATGGTGATAGTGATGGTAATGGTGATGGTAATGGTGATGGTGATGGTGATGATAGTGATGATGAGAATGGTGGTGATGATGATGATGATGATGGTGGTGGTGATGGTGATGATGATGATGATGGTGATAGTGATGGTAATGGTGATGGTAATGGTGATGGTGATGGTGATGATAGTGATGGTGAGAATGGTGATGAAGATGATGATGATGATGGTGGTGGTGATGGTGATGATGATGATGGTGATAGTGATGGTAATGGTGATGGTAATGGTGATGGTGATGGTGATGATAGTGATGATGAGAATGGTGGTGATGAGGATGATGATGAGGATGATGGTGAGGATGATGATGATGATGTGATGATGATGTGGTGATGATGATGATGGTGGTGATGGTGATGATGATGATGGTGATGGTGATGGTGATGGTGATAGTAATGGTGATGATGAGAATGGTAATGATGAGGATGATGATGGTGATGGAAATGGTAGCGTCTTTGTGGTATGAGAGCTTGCTCAAGTACTCTCTGTCTGGATAGAGAAGAAGAGTAAACAAGTAAAGAAAGCAACTTGTAATTGACAGAATGAGAAATAAAGTAATAATCTGAGGTGTTTTTTGTAAAATGAACCATTACATTGTCTTTCAATCTATGGATTATCTTTTGCAAATATTCCAGTTACGACAAATGTAACAAGGTCTATTAGATAAAATTTCATTTGTAAAAGTTGCTTTATAAGTTAGATCAGTATGTTTTCCATATCAGTTCTCTGGAATTACACTAAGGAGACGATGGTAGTAAACATACAACCACAGAACAGTTTATACATTATTCATATTTAATTTTGAAGGTACATTGCGGTGCACCTCAAGGATACATTATGATTAAATATTCATAAATTTCATATTATTTTGTTTTTGTTTATTACAGCATTGTTTGAGAGACTGGAAGAGCTGGATGTGGCTTTGGCAGAGCAGTACAAGTGAGTGATTCTAAATTCAGTCACAATGTATCTTGACGCCACACATGTGCATAGTCCCATATTGAGCTTGTGACTGTTTGTGATTTTTTTTTGCAAAGGTTACACAATTTGTTATCAGTATTAAGATGATTCTAAAATCATTTATTCACAATTCTTCGTTCACAATGCAATCACTTTGCAAGTGGAACTGAACATGCATCAGTTTACCTTTAAATTCTTGTTTTCCTGTTCATATAGCAAACACATGCATAATGCTTACTTAAATCTACCTGGTATCATCTGCACAACGTATTTTTTGTTTAGGAAAATGAAACTTACCATTTTCAAAATCTGGCTTCCTTGTACGGTTTGAACTGATCTTGGATCATACCATCTAAAATGGTAATGGTAACTTTTGCTGAGTGGCTTTCAGCCTGTAGGAATCTTGACAGTGTAACAGAGATGATAATTAGGTGTTAGCCTATACAGTCAAACCTGTGTTAGCAACCACCTCTCTATAAAGACCACCTGTCTATAATGGCCATGCATTTTGTCTCCCTTGAGAGAGAAATGTGTATTGTAGAACCTGTCTAGAAAGGCCGCTGTCTACAGTGGTCACTTTTTCTATTTCCCTTGGGTTGTCTTTATAGACAGGTTTGACTGTACATCTTATTTGTTGTGCGAGTATGAACAGTAAGGTGATATTACAAATCAATTGTTTTGTCATCGTGTAGGAATCTTGACAGTGCAACCGAGAGGATTCCAGACATCAGTAAAGTAAGGAAGGCCATGCAGACTATCACTCATGAGATGGATATGTGTCATGGTAAACTAGGAAGTCTGTTCAGAAGTGGTAAGTTATCATTCAACTCCAGAGCAAAGGTGCTCTCAGTAGCTTTTATTTAGGTTCCCCTTTCCATTCCACTCCAAAAGAAAAAGTATTCCCCAAGCCCCCCTTCCCCCCCCCCCCCAAAAAAAGAAGAAAATCTTGATTCTAAATGAACTTACGTGATGCACTTGTAGAAAATGAATGCAAGAACCACAAATATGCCCCAAAGCCCTCCAACAATTATGTAGAACAATGCCTTGGTGTTAGTTAACTAGAAGATAACATGTTTTAAATATATATATAATAACACCCCCTCCCACAAAAAAAAAGATTGAGGGTTAAAGTTATATATGTTTGTGTGTTTGTTTGTATTACAGAAAGTAGATTTTGTACTTAACTTTGATAATGATAATATCTGAATCACTGTGGATGCACATAAGTACATTATTCAATTTGTTATACATGCTGTGCTAAAAGGTAGGACAGGTTATTAATTATTATCTTAATGTACAGTGTATAATATTTGTTTATCTCATAACTTATCTCTGAATACTATTGTTAACTCTACAGGTTCCAGACAGACCTTCTTTGCCAGTCAAGTACTCCGCTACGCTGATCTCTACTCATCATCATTCCTTAACCTACTTCATTACCCATTCAGTTATCTCTTCAGAGCACCCCATCAACTGGTAAGTTATCCGATTTCAAGTTTCACCATTACCAATTCTCAATGCCATCGTTCACATTTAGGTTTCACACCTCACATGATGATCTGACATGTAGCATTGCATTTTGTATCAGCGACTAGAAACTTGCCAATTCACATGGGGAAGAGGTTCTTTTGTTCCTTGTACACAACATTTGTCTATTCTTAACCATAGGATTTTATCGAGTAAATTAAGAGTAGAAAAAAAGAACGTATTTGTAATCACAATTATCATTGACTACAGTTCGTTCTCTCAGTTAGGAAAACTATATGTAGGACATTATTTTAAGAAAAGCTTCAAGCAGTGAATAACGATTTAAAAAAACAAAGAATACAGAACAAACCTAAATGGACATGGAATATTGCACATGGAAGTCACTTCATTACGGCAATAAGGCCTACAAAAAAGATGTTGTATTGCCCTTTTTGTTTAGGCCTAATAGTCCTTACCTTAGCCACTGAGTTATACACGACCACCTTAGATTTTTTTTTTTGGGGGGGGGGGGGAGGTATTTCTGTAGGTAGTGCATGAACAGACTTGGATTTTGAAATACGTTTCAATGAAGTTTTTTTTAAACGTTGATAAAAAATCTTAATATTGTCTCTATCTTCAATTCCATACGTATAGATGCCTCATGAAGCCACCGTTGACCATTACGACCACTTTGAAGAGGAGCCCCAGGCCATGATGTCACCTGCGTTGTCAAGGAAACGGGCTGCCAGCGATGTCACTGCCACCACCTCACGCATCCCGAACGGAGAGCAGAAGAACAAGACGTTCAGCTCCCCCAAGCCACCCATGATCACCCACGGCCATGACCAAGATGATTAAAGATGGAACCCACTTACACCGGTATACGCCACGCCCGATGTGCCACGCCTTATGGGCCACGCCCAATCATTCAATCTCACATCAACTCCTTCCACATTGAGTAAGAGGGGCAGAAAGCTGATAAATGATGAATTGTATTCACGTCTTCCTTCTCCTTTATACGTTGCCAATTTATTTTGACAGTAAGTCATTTTTAACAATTGTTGGAATGTTTTGCCACATTTTAATATGTAAATGTGTAGCTACTGTTTGCAATTATTGTTCACTGCTAGTAGAGATTTTAATGCTGTTTTTTAACATGTACCTAGCATGTGATTTGATTGTACATTGTTGATCTGAAAATATACAAGGAAATGTTTTTTATTGACTCCCAAGAAATTGACAAGAATAAAGCAGATGTAGATGATTTATACTGATTGACTGTACTGTCTTAGAGGATATGAACGTCAAAAATAGAGAACGCTTTTAACTGTACTTACAGAGCCATACATGTACTTTTCTTTTCTTGATAAAGGCAAGATTTTACTTTTGTTTTTATCGTCGTTGGGATTTCAATATAATTTTTGAAATAGTTGTGACTTTCCCTTTAGGAATTGGGCTCAAATGATATGGAAATAGTCCTGTGAATTCTTCAACATGTTGCTTCTGTATCTTAGGCTTTATTTTGCAAAGAGTTTTGGAGTTGTTTAGGTACATTGTGTGTATGTTGCAATCTGAATTTCATTGCACAGAACTGTACATTAAGGCTCATTCAGATATGGGCTGGTAAACAGCTGCAAAAAACGCCACACTTTTGTCTGCGTGTAAAATGAACGGTAACTGTGCGCAACAAAGGACTCTGTGTTATAAGATTAAGAAATGTTATGCGTATAACCCTTTAAGTCCTTTAAAAAACAGCGCAGTTTTGTCATATCTGAACAAACCTTTACAGGACAATATCTGAGATACAATAAATCTACGAGTTCATCAAATGAACAAAACCATGTATGATTGTATCATACAAAACAAAATATACATACATGTACAGCTGTATGTACAAACATTATGGATATAAGCATTCTTTTCTTCCTCTTTCAGAGTGTACTTTTGATATTGGACAATAATATCTGTGCTTTTCCATTCTTGTATAGGGCATAGCCGCATATCACATTATGATATATTGTGTGTATGCACTTCCAAACAACTTGGAAACTAATTTACTTTACTCTCTCGTTGTTTATCAGCCCAAAATAAACAAGACATCCCTTATGGAACCATTTTCTTTTTTGATAACTGTTTTTGTCATAGCTAAATTTCATGCAATGATTTGGCTGTGACCGGATTTGTTTAAGGGCTAAATTGATCCCCCCAACAAAAATTGAGCTAACTCACAAAATGAGGAGTGGCTGTATCAAAGGGGTAAACAGTAGAGATGGATGTTTATGGCCTGTATTGTTTGCCTTTTAGCTTTATATTTCATGTCATGTTTATGCTTCTAACAACTTATTATCATTTTGTGATTTCTGTTTACTGTTGATTTTCATCTTTTATCATTTTTAGAAGCAATATTGCGTTAACTGAAATATAGATGTGTTACTAATGGCCAAATATTGCTCCAATGTACTGCTCCTCCATGATAATTCTCATACGTTGTTTAGTACGGAATGTGCATGTATCTCTGAAAGGAGGTGCTATGTGGGGCAGACGTTTAGCTGCATTCAAGTATTTTGTTTTTCTTCAGGGAAAGCGGCATCTTTGGTTTTCATCCTATATACCCGTGATACCAAAAAAGTACCAACAAAATTGCCAACATTATATTTTGTGGATTAGCATATGCAGAATACAGTAATGTCGTTTACCAGTTTTAAACTTTCATGTTTTTTATGTGTATAACGTTTCTTTCTTTGCACTGCATCTTTTATACACCCTGCCTTTTTAAAGGTGATGATGTGCTTATTGATGTTCAAATTTCAAGCATTTGATGAGTGCCTTTAATTGGAATCTATAGCAGCGTGCTTGTATTGTCACTAAACACAAGTATATCTGTGTTATCAATGTAATGTTAATCCATGGACTGTTTACTCTGTAAATTGAACAATTTCAGCTATCAGCTACAGGTTCGATTATTTTATCTCAATAAACCAATACAATATGTTTATACAAAAAGAAAAGAATTTGTATATATTATAGACTTTCATAGTCTTTTTATATATATAAGGTAGGGAGATAATGTTACCATTCAGTTCAATACATCATTATGTTATGCCTATGGCATTACACAAACTCGTACAGCACAAACTCTTCTACTGCCACTGAGTGTAAAAATGCCTTGTATATCTGCAAGTTTTTTTTCTCCACCTGTTAGGGGATGATCTATGCATTTTCTCACTCAAGTTTTCATAATAACTCGCTCTAGATTCCCTTTATATAATTTACTGTTGGTCACTATTTTCAGTAAAGGGCACTACTGCAATAGATTGCAAATGTACATGTAGATGGGAAAGATAATCTGCTATGAAAAATTCAATTTATTTTTCTTAACTTCCACACATGTATGTTTCAGTTTGCAAGAGTGTAATGTATGTTGCAATATATGCATACCGGTACATGTAGATAATCAGTATTAGAGCAAATGTAAGAACAGTAATTTAGAATCTAGAGTATTTTAGAGTAATGTGTTTTTGTAGCTGTTGCTACTTGTTTTTAAATGTCATAATTTTGTTTAAAGGGTGCCTGGTATTATTATTCAAGGCATTAATTCCTTTGCTCAACCTGCCATTTCAGTTTACTCAAAATGACTGGTGCTAAGCGAAATGTTAATCAAGTTTGTACATTTTATGGTGATGTAATTGTGTACATATGTATTCTGAGATGGGTACTGTGTATGTGTGTGAATTAATGACATCATATTACTTTTCCCCATCCCCTCCCCCCCCCCTCTCTCTCTCTCTCTCTCTCCATCTCTCTCTCTCTTTCTTTCTCTCTCTCTCTCTCTCTCTCTCTCTCATTCTCTCTCTCTCGCTCTACCACTCACTGGTACTTTCTATCTCTCCCTTGACATTATTCCTTTATTGATTGTAGTGCTTTGAAAAGGCACTTTCTTATTTTAGCCCCCTTTTTGATAGATGGCCCATGATTTTTTTTTAATCAGTTTCTAAGGAATCATTTGAGAAAATTTGAGTAGGCAATGACATTCAAATACATTTTGTTGAAATGTAGAATCATATTTCATTCTTATATTTACCTTTTCAGTGACATCATAGTATTGTTCGAGACATATTTCTTAATATGATTGCATTTCGTTGTCATTTTTTCATACTGTTACTTTTACTTTTCATACAAATTTTTAAATGTTGGAAGTGTCCTTAAATTGGCACTTATATACCTAATGTTTGTACTCTTTAGAATAGGTAAGCATGTAAATAGAAACTGTTGAATGATGGAAGAAGATTGTTTTGTATATAGGTTGATGTTGCTTCAATATACTGTATTTGGAGGAAAGTGAGGGCATACCTGATCAAATAGATTCACATTTAGATCGCCATACAGATATGTACATGTAACTGTACATTGCATTCATACCAAAATGTGTTTTATTATGTAATATCTTATCATAAGCAACTCTCTTTGTAAACTACATGCATAACCTATCACTTCAGTTACATTACTTTTTACCTCTTGCAGGGAAGTCATGATTATAGATTAATTTTTGCAAGATCTTTATTTTCAATAGTATTTATTTGTATATATTTGATGGCATTGGAGAGCACTATTCCAGCAGTTTATTTTTTCAAAGACTGAGTAGCCGTTGTGTGTAAAGGATCTTGTGAGAAAAGATAATTGTTTCTTCACCTCTACATTCAATTTGCTAATAAACCCTCCATAAAGATGCTTCCCCAAAAGGTTATCAATATAACCAAATTGTTGATATTCTTGTTTTTTATATGATTTAGTAGTATGGCAGGGGAACAAATAGTCGCATTTCTCTCTGAATAATTAAACATGGAGTGGGAGTGCCAAGCGTGACTTGAAAGGGCAAAGTGTTGTTGTTGTTTGTCTTATTCAGGGTATTTAAAGGTACTATGTCCCATTTGCAGGCACAAAAAAGGAAAAGGTTGAATTCCACCGGCATTTGAAAGATAATACTAATTTAGAACTTCCCTCAAAAAAAAATGGCTTGAAAATGTCTTTTTGTGGGAAAATAATAACCGTTAGTTGTTGAATCGACTTTAGAGATTGCAATCCTTTTAGGAAATAGTCTGATTTTCAGAACCTTGTACGGAACAGTCGTACGTTTGTGCTTGTGTACCCTTTACAGCTCATTTTATGTATGTTATTACCAAAGAAAAAAGAAGTCTGTCAGTCACTCAATAGTGTCTGACAGTGAAATTTAGAAAGTAAACAGGTTTCCTTGCAGAAATTAAAAACTAAAACACTGCTGTCGTTTAATTTCACAGATGACATACGTGACATATTCATAATTCCTGCAAAGTTCTACAGCATTTGATGTTGGATGCAAATGGGACATAGTACCTTTAAAGCATCCTTTTATCAGCCGTTGAACGTTAAATCGAGACACACACTTTGCGCTTTCAAGTCATGCTAGTCGCTCCCACTCGGTGTTAAATTATTCAGAGGGAAATGTGACTATGTGTTCTCCTGCCATACTCTTAAATCATATTAATAGCTAATTGAATCAAAAGTGGAACATTTGAGGTTCAGTTCTTTGCAGTGTCTGTGATTCTATCTATGATGCAGGTATTGATTGATTCAGACTGTTAGTCAAACATGAACAAACGAAATGCTTTCAAATCCAGATTCTTTGAAGGAAAGGCAACAAAGGAGCAATGAAATACTACTCATGGTATCAGAGAATATGTCTGCATGCTGTATTTCATTGTAAATCTCTACTTGCTTTAAAAGGTACACAATACTCTTTACTGAAACACACTAAAGCACGTACCGGTACATGTATGTTTGGACGTCAAGACAGATTGATTAATCGCTACAAACTATGCCTGCATTGCTCTCGTACATACTAAGACCTAGTAGTTTCGATTACTCAGTGTATTTTGAGTTCTTGATTTCATGAGCATGTGCCAAATTTCACATCTAATCTTTGCTTCTGTTGAGTTGCAATGTTCCAATACATCATCTGCTTGGAGCCAGAAGGGCGTTGAAACCTATACCGGTACATGTTCACATGGCTACGCCCTTATGGCCCCAGCAGACAAATTCTTGTGTTCCTGTTTTACAAGTTCTTAGATAGTCATATTTGTATATAGTGCTGACACAGTAAAATGACATTGTCAGTTGATTTCATACATGTTTTTTAATGAATACATCTTTAGTAAATCATAAATAGTAAAGATAATCTTGAGTTCTGGTAAAATGTAGTATTCACAAAATCAGAAAAAATAGCCAATATTAAATATAACAAATAATTATTTCTGAGAAGCAAAGTAAACTGTTGAATCCATTGAATAGTGAATCATATTAGATTGTCACAGTCCTACATACATATAATTAACTTCTTGTATTGAAAAGCCAACTTCTCTAAAAACAGAAATTGGGGAACTTGACATCACAATGTCACAATGGGTAAGAGGAAGTAATTTCAAAATAACATGTTTGTACACTTTTTCATTCATTCCATTATTGTCTTGTGTTACGCGACACTTATGTTCATACGCTCTTACACTCATAATGCTCCTTTGACAGATATCGTTTTATATCCTTTATAGTTTATGCTTCAAGTATATACTTTATATGTATTCTATTATTCTTTGACATATTTGTGTCAGTTGTTGTATTTAGAAGATAGATATTATTTGTTTTTATGATATATGTTAAATATTTTTATATGTTCAGTTATTCATATATTATGTAGGTAGTACCAGGAATTCTATACTCCATGTTGATCATACACTCAAATAACAATACAGTAAATCACAGTCAACAAATGAATTTAAACAGCAATATCATTTAGTTCATTCACCAGGTCAAGTTATGCATACAGAAAATATGATTGAGTCCACATGGTTCAAGAATAATCATTTGAAGCAATTATTGTTTTTTCTAAGGTTCTGGTGTCTCTATCGTCAAAACCGACAAAAAAGCGATGAAAAAAACAAAATGAAAAAAATCCACCTCTTGAGAGTTTTTTTGTTAAACACCTGCCAAAATGTCACAGATTTTTGCAGTCTAAATCAAAGATTCAATACAATGTCGTTTTTTCTTCGTCACAGGACTCTACATGCGCACTACTCACCAAAATATTGGTATGAGCAAAAATTAACAGAATTTTATGGGTTTTTCCAGTAGTGTGAATGCCAGTAAAAATTAATCAACAATTTATCAAACTGGTGTTTTGGATGTGAAATGGGTCTATTGTTATCTTCTGTTATCGTAGTTACTGTGACTATTACTATGGCCTTGGTAATTAATGGATGATTCTCTCTCTACATTGTCTGTTTCAGTACATTGAGCTCATATGCACCCAGCTATACCTTTCATCTCCACCTTCACACAAGGCTGCACAAGTTTTATTCAGCTATTTTTAGGTGATAGGTGATGTAAGGATTTTTTTTCAAACGGGTTCCGTGCATGTTCTGTACAGGATTAATGAAACGCAAAATAATAGTACAATATGTTTAGATGAGAGTTTATTTGTGTATGATTTATGATATGTATGACCATCACTGTTCCAATGGAATAGCTCGCTGCTTCAAATAAATGAAATCATTTGAATTTAAAGTTCATAGTGTGAAAAGGACTCAATTGACCTACATATTGATTGATTGATTGATTGATACATGAATGAATTCATACAGTAAGGGCTTGATTGGTTTACTGCATAAATTACTGATTGGTAGGTGTGTGTTGCATAAATTACTGATTGGTAGGTTTATTTTGCATAAGTAACTGATTAATTGATTACTTGGTTGGTCGGTTAATTGATTGACCGATAGTATGATTGGTGATTGATAGATTGGTTGATTTATTAGTTGACTGATGGATGGGTTAATTGATTGGTAGATTGATTTATTGCTAGGTGGTTTGATTAATGGATTGATTGAATTACTAGTTGATTAGTTGACTATAAGATGGGTTGACTGAGTGATTAATTGATTCATTAATATATAAGGTTGATTAATTGATAAATTGATTGATTAGTTGACTATTACTATTAGATGGGTTGATTGACTTATAGTTTGGTTGATTAATTCATGACTTCGTTAATTGATAGATTTGTTGATTGATTTATAGTTTGTTTGATAGTTTGATTTATTAGTTAATTAGTTGACTAATAGATGGGTTGACTTGATAGATTGATT